ACTACGCCCCCATCCCCATCACACACACCAGTTGTACTATTTTCTTGGCATCAGCATAATACAGTGGGCAAGAGTGCAGACTCTGTAGACAAACTCTGCCCATTTTTATCCTGTGTCCATCACTCATTAATTGTGTGGTCTTAGGCAAGTCACTTGATTTTTCCCAGCTGTAATAATTTACAGAAGACTTCAAATCCTATTAGATAAACTCTAAGACATTATTTTTGTACTAATCTTTTAAGAAATTTTAAATTACTAGGCTTAGACTTTTTTTTTTGTTTTGAGATAGGGTTTGATAATAGAATTTCCTTAAAGGGTTCTTGTGGGGAGTAAATTGGCACATTACCTGGCACACAGTAAAGGCTTAATAAATGTTAGCTTGGATTATTTTCATCATTATTTTTTTTTCATATTGTGATCTAGGAGTGTGTTAGTGAGACGGTGGATTTAGATTAGACAATACAATCAGTGACTGTGGAATAGAATTCTTTCCTGTGAAGCTAATAAACCAAATATAGTCAAATTTATACTTTTAACCTTGGTTTAGCACAGAAAGACAACTGAGTTAACAGTTGGAATACACTGTTGTTTCTACCAGCCAGAGTCATACCTTTAAAAAACTGTTTATAAAGGAATCCTATAAGTATTTATCTGCTTGATATTAAAATTAATTTCTCTAACATAAAGCTAGTTAAGAGATATGAGTCCTCTTGGTTTGTAATCTAGACCTTAAAAAACAATTCCATAACACAAAAAGCTCATGTATTTTGCTAAAACTCTTTTACCCTCAAAATGTAGAACAGAGCCAACTATCAGCAAAGGATCACTTGCTTATATTTTAACCAAAAAAGTTAAGGTTTAGTACTGTTCAAATTTTCACAGACTTTCAAAAACGGAGCTCAAAATACTGAAATGACATTTAAAGAACTATTCTAAGTGGTTTTACTCAGTAAAGTTTAAAGATCAATCTTATTTCATTCAGATTCTATAAATAAGTCAAGATATAATTTGAAGATTTAAAAAAAATTTGATGAAGAGAGCTAGCTGATTCATTTATTCTCTCGACTATTTTTGACAGGGTAATTCTTTATTGTCACCAAGCCACACAATTTTCTTTCATTTTACCAGGAAAAAAGTGTTCTTGAAGTTCATCTGGCCAATTAATTCAGCTAAAATTATCAATCCCCATAGTCCTATATGAGATTGCTCAAATTTTCTTCTTACCCTTTGGTATTTCTCTTAAATGATACAAATGAATTTAAAGGTTCCCTGCTCACTTGCAGGTAATTGTAGGTTTTTACTGAAGAGGGTACATTGTAGTGAGGGACACCAGGAGTAATGAAATGAATCAAAATTATTGATACCTACTAATGTTAGATATTATTCTAGAGTCGTTACACATGTTATCTTTTCTAATCCTAACTAGGAAGCAACAGCGTTGGAACTTGGATTTAGGTCTTATGATCAAATTATGGTAATCAAAATGTGAGGTGAAGACTTATAGTAGAATGGGGGCAGTGGAAATAGTGAACATGTAAGAACAAATTTGAAAGCAACATTCACAATCTTGACAATCTATTAAAATGTAGGAGATATAGAAAAATAAACCAGTAGTAACTTTAAGGTTTGAGAAACTATGAGTATTAAGGGTAGATTTTGTTGGTTATACAAGAAGAAATATCTGATAGGTAACTCTAGATATGATAGAATGGCTCAGATAAGCGAATAGGACTAGAGCTAATTGTTATTTTATCTCAGGCATGTAGAAGTAGATTGCTTGTAAACCTTGATTAATGACATACTTTCATCCAAGCATGGCCTGCTTTTATTAGTAATTGTTTTTTTAAATATATTTTTATTGATTTCAGGGAGGAAGGGAGAGGGAGCGAGAGATAGAAACATCAATGATGAGAGAGAATCATTGATCAGCTGCCTCCTGCACAGTCCCCACTGGGAATCGAGCCAACAACCTGGGCATGTGCCCTTTACCAGAATCTAACCTGGGACCCTTCAGTCCTCAGGCCAATGCTCTATCCACTGAGCCAAACTGGCCAGGGCTATTAGTAATTGTTGTTAGTAATGTATAAGCACCCACTGGCCCATTAAACTACAACAGTTATCACTTTGTTAATAGTTACATGGAATCGAGACCCACTCACCCCATCATATTATCTCCTCACACAAAGAAAACTAGCCCCAGATGATTTCATTGGGAAGTTCTTGCAAACATTTAAGGAAAAAAATAATACCAACTCTACATGCACTATTACAGAAAATTAAAGAAGAGAAAATACTTCCCAACTCATTCTGTGAGAGAAGTATTACTCAGTTAACAAACACAGGTGTGGCTCAGTAGCTGAGGGTCAACCTATGAACCATCAGGTCATGGTTCGATTCTTGGGTTTTGAGCTCAATTCCCAGTAGGGACCATGTAGGAGGCAACCAATCTATAATTCTCTCTCATCATTGATGTTTCTCTCTCTCTCCCCCACACCCTTCCTCTCTAAAATCAATACAAAAATATAGAACAATCACACAGGTATTACAAGAATATAAAACTACAAACCACCTGGCCTGGGTGGCTCAGTGATTAAGCGCTGACCCATGCACCAAGAGGTGATTGGTTTGATTCCCAGGTTGCAAGCTGATCCCCAGCAGGGGACTTGCAGGAAGCAGCCAATCAATGTTGATGCTTCTCTCATGGATGTTTCTATTTCTCCTTTCTTCTCTAAAATCAATAAAAAAATATTTAAAAGAAAACTACAGACCAATATCCTTTGCAAACGTGGATGGAAAACTTCTTAACAAAATTTTATTAAATTGAATTTATCAGGATGTATAGGGTAATACATCATGACCAATGAAGTTTATCCTAGGAATGGAAAGTTGATTTAACATTTGAAAATAAATAAATTAATTCACCATAATAAAAATGAAAACCACATGATTATCTTAATAGACACAGAAAAAGCATTAGATAATTCAACACCCATTCCTGAAATTACTGCAGCATAATAGGAATAGAAAGGAACTTAATCTGATATAGTTCATCTAAGAAAAAATCTATAGCTAAAGTCATACTTATTGGTGAGAGAAAATTTTTTCTCCTGAGATCAGGAACAAGGCAAAGAAGCCTGCTCTCATTACTTCTACTTAACACTGTCCTGGAAATTCTAGCCAGTACAATCAGGCCACAAAAAGAAATAAAAGACATCCAGATTGGAAAGGAAAAAGTGTTCACAGATGATGCAATCATCTATGTAGAAAATCTAATGAAATCTAAAACAAACAAAAACCCAATGGAATTGATAATTTTACTTTAGCAGGGTAGCAGGATATAAGATCATGGTACAAAAATAAATTATGTATTTATATACTAGCAACAGACAATTATCAATTGAAACCTAAAAACACCATTTACAAAAGCAACAACAAATGTGAAAATTTTTTAGGGATCAATCTCACAAAAGATATGGAAGACCCGCACACTGTATACTACAAAACATTTCTTTTTTTAAAAAAAAAAATATGTTTTTATTGATTTTAGAGAGAGAGGAAGAGAGAGAGATAGAGAGATAGAAACATCGATGAGAGAGAAACATCTATTGGCTGCCTCAAGACTTGTACATGAATGTTCATAGCAGCTTTATTTGTAATAGTCAGTAACTGGAAACAACCCTAATGTCAACAGATGAATGGTTAGCAAATTGTGGCATATAATAATCAGTAATAAAAAGGAATGAACTATTGGCAAATGCAACAACATGGATGAACCTCAAAATAATTATGCTGGGTGAAAAAAAGCCAGACAATCAAGTACATACTATATAATTCCATTTATAAAAAATTTGAACTAATCTATAGTGACAGAAAGCATATCTGCCTGGGGTTGGGGGTGTGGGGTGGGAGAGGCAGGAAGAGGAAGGAAGTAAGGGGTCTGAGAAAACATTTGGGAATAATGTATATATTCATTTTCTTGATTGTGGTGATGGTGTCATGAATACATACATATGTCAGAACTTATCAAATTGTGCACTTTTAAAAAGTGTACTTTATTGTCTGTCAACTGTAACTTAGTAAAGCTATTTTTTAATTTTACAAATTACAATAAATAAATTACAATAAAACTCTGAAAAGTATTCAATTAATCCAGAAGTAGGCAAGAAAAAAAAATAAAAGAACAAAAAAGAGGGGAGAAATAAGAAATAAATAGTAAATGGTAGACTTAAGTCCATTCATATAAATAATTACATTAAATGTTAATAGACTAAACACTGCAATTAAAAGATAATATCAGAATTGATTTTTTTTAAAAAAGGAAAGTCTAACGATGTGCTGTATCCAAAAGATGTACTTCACATGTAGAGACAGAGGTAGGTTGAAAATAAATGGCTAGAAAATGATATACTATGCAAACTAAACTTAAGAAAGCTGATGTAGCTATTTTAATGTCAGATAAGTTCAAGGCAATGAGGTAAGACAGAAATTTCATACTGATGAAAGGGTCAATTCTAACAGAAGATATTAAAATCATAATGTATATGCACTTAAGAGAGTTTGAAATTATATGAGACACAAATGACAGAATTAAAAGAATAGACAATTCCACATAGTTGAAGACTGGTAAAACTAGGCCAAAAAAAAAAAAGTGAAGACAGAAATTTCAATAACACTATCAACCACCTTGACCTGGTTGATATTTATAGAATAATACACCTAATAACTGCAGGATATAAATTCTTTGCAAGTGCACTAGCTATAGTCACAAGCTATTTTGGGCCATACGCTTACAAAGAATCTTTTAATACCATGCATCTTGTACCTTCTCTACCCTAAATCTTGGGGAAATAAACCAAGAGTTATCACAATTTAGGACTTACCTGGATAATGTCAGTATTTCTTAAGGAGCAATTAACACACTATTAATATTTACAAAAATGCATAGCATATTTTTAAAAATTAAGTCATTAAAATTCTTATTCAATACTAATATTTTTCAGGTGCAAAAATAAACAAAGCTTCATAATCACCCCAAGACGACATAGAGCAAAGATGAATGATATTTCCCAAAAGGCTGAGGTAAGTCTCCAGAGTTAAAAAGGAAGTAGGGGGGAAACCTAAGGTTGACTGTAGAACTGCTGAAAGGGCAGTTGTTCAGTGGGAAGGTCATGTTGACAAATTCATAACAACATAGTGCCAAGACATAAATCATAAGAAATTCACAGGCTGATCTTGGGTCCCGTAGTTTTGCTTTAGTTCCAATCTAAGAATCATGATTATTAAATTTGTGAATGATAGTAAAGTGGATGTGATGGGAAGTATCTCAAGTAGAATTTTAGTATCTTGTTAAGTCTTAGAAGTTATATTTTCAGTATTAAAAAAACGGATTTGACTTGCACTCTCAGGAGTTAGCAATAATTCACTCTCAGGTGAGGGTCCCTACTAGCACTTCCTCCAGAAGCTGCAATAAAACTTCTCAGCCATTTTCTGGTTCTTGGCTGCAGTTATGGAGAGTTGTAGTAAGAAGAATCCAACCCCAAATTTGGTGATGGCCCCAAATTATAAACGTAATAAAACCTTAAATGGCCAATGACACCATAAGTAGATAAAATAGGGGCTGGGTATGCCAGATTAATTAGCAATTTGTCATTAGTGCGTAGGAGAAAGGGTTTGGCGTTCTAAGTAAGAACTGAAGCTTTATTTACTGAAACTTCTTTTAGAGATCAGCTTAATTTTAAAAAATGATGAAAATAATTTGCTTTCTAGGTTTTATAGTGGAGGAAAAGTTTTAGGGAGCTCTTTTGCCATTTGGAAATTTTCCTATAGAGCTCATCCTGTTTGGAATGAGACAGTTTTCTTACACATTAAAAAAGTATATTTTTATTGATTTCAGAGAGGAAGGAGAGAGAGAGAGATGAAACATCAATGATAGAAGAGAAATCATTGATTGGCTGCCTTCTGCACACCCCACACTGGGGACCGAGCTCGCAACCAGGGCATATGGCCTGACTGGGAATTAAACTATGACCTCCTGGTTCGTAGGTCGATGCTCAACCACTGAGCAACACCAGCCGGACATTCTTACACATTTTTAATGTTGGTTTATAGAAGTTCTGGATGGGCAGTAACAATATAAGTCATCTCTGCCTGTGCACAAAGACCCTGGCACAGCTCAGCTGCAAATGAGAAATAAAGGACTGGACTTAAGTTTAACTCATATTAGATATGGAAACAAGCAAGAATATTAATGTGTGAATTAAACTTTAAAGCCTAAACTTTTGCTTTATTTTCAGCTTCATCTAATTTATTGAAATTAGTCTGGGTGCCCGGCCAGTGTGGCTCAGTGGTTGAGAGTCAAACTATGAACCAGAAGGTCATAGTTCAATTCTCTGTCAGGGCACAAGCCTGGGTTGAGGGCTAGATCCCTAGTGGGGAGTGTACAGGAGCCAGCTGATTGGTAGCTCTCTCTCATCATTGTTGTGTTGATATTTCTATCTCTCTCTCCCTCTCCCTTCCTCTCTGAAATCAATAAAAATATATTTTAAAAAATTAGTCTGGGTATCTTTTAAGCAAGCAATGGGAGTAGGTTGATAAAATACAGGTTATTTTAAATTAGAATCCAGTATTCAATTTATATATTTTACTAGCCCTCAGCTTCAGCGGAATGCACTTACAAGATGGAACTTCTGTACTATATATTAATAAAATTTTACTCTCATATTTTCTGTAATTTCCTTTTTTAGATTTAGACTTCAGACAGTACATAATCAGATTCTTGTGGTTAAAATAAAGGTTTCAAACTCATTTCTATTTTCTGTTTCAACAAGTATTTCTTGTATTGCTTATTCTGGTCTGTCTTTACCTAACTTATTCCTATCTTTATTTTTTCAACTTTCTTTTCTTTATTTTATTCTAACGAAGATTCTGCTTTCTTCATCTAAACCTGTCCCAAAAACCTATGTGCCAAAACTTGGCAAAGGTGATGTAAAGGATAAGTTTGAAGCCATGCAGAGAGCCAGGGAAGAAAGAAATCAAAGGAGATCTAGAGACGAAAAGCAAAGAAGAAAAGAACAATATATTAGAGAGAGAGAATGGAACAGGAGAAAACAGGAGGTTATTTTATTTTATTTTACTATTGTGCAAATATTCATCTTATTAATTTATATTTCATTATTCACATTTACTGTTTCATATTAACCATAATTAAGATAATTTTCTGTATTTAAAAACTAATTTCCAACTCTGCATATAATGTGGTTTAGTCTAAATTTGTGACATGTTCATATTAATTTAACCATCTAGATTAAAGAAATGCTTGCTTCTGATGAAGAGGGAGAGGTATCTTCTAAAGTAGATAAAGCTTATGTTCCCAAGCTAACAGGTAAGACACTTGAAGGGTAAATTGTAAATGAAATTGTAAAGAAAGAAAACAGCAAAGTATCAAGCATGTTTCATCTATTCTCAGGAACTGTTAAAGGTAGATTTGCTGAAATGGAGAAACAAAGACAAGAGGAACAAAGGAAGAGAACAGAGGAGGAACGAAAACGCAGAATTGAGCAGGATATGTTAGAAAAAAGGAAGATACAACGTGAATTAGCAAAAAGGGCTGAGCAGGTATAAACTAAATATTAAGTTAGTATTTGCTTTAGAAACTAATTTTACAGAGTAAAACTAATCATTATGCTGCCTAATTAAAATATTTTAATATAACATGAACCTATTACATAGTAGCTACCTTGAAAACAAGATCCTAACCACAAATATTTAATATCAAATGTCTAGAAGGCTAAGGGCAGAATGTGCCTATTTTAAGGTTGAATTTTTTTTTGTTATATACCATCTTACCCTTCCATCCACACTCCTTACACTGTCCACATTGGTTATTTTTCTTGACATGTTAGAGGATTTTATCTATATATATAAAAGCCTAAGTGACCGAATGACCAGTAGCTATGATGCGCTCAATGCAGGAGCTGCCCCCTGGTGGTCAGTGCACTCCCACAGCAGGAGCGCTGCTCAGCTGACAGACGGGAGCCAGACACAGGGCTCACGACTGGCCTGGCCATCACAGCCTGGAGACCTCAGCAGAGCTGCAGTGAACCTACCTAGTGGCGGCGGTGGCAGACGCAGTGGTGCCGGGATGAGCAGGAGCGGCAGGCAGTGTTGGACTGCCGGTTTTGGCCCAATCCACGCAGGCTATGCCGAGGGACCCCAGTATAGATATACTGGTATAGATATTGGGCTTCTAGTATAGATATAAGACAATTTCACATATAAGCTATCCACAAACACTTAATAAAATGCTGGTCTTTTAATAGCAATCAGTAAATACTTGGTTATTATCAAACACTAAGGCATAATGAGCATATCTTTCTACTCAAGAATTTGAAACCAATTAAATCACATTTTATTTAATAATGGTATTATTAGTCCTAGTCGGTTTGGCTCAGTGGATAGAGCGTTGGCCTGCAGACCAAAGGGTCCTGGGTTCGATTGCAGCCAAGGGCACATACCGTGGTTGCAGGCTCCTCCCAGGCCCAGGCCCTTGGTCAGGGCTTGTGCAGGAGGCAACCAATCAATGTGTTTCTCTCACATTGATGTTTTTCTCTTTGTCTTTCCCTCTTTCCCTAATAAATCAATGGGAAAATTTCCTTGGGTGAAGATTAACAATAAATAAATAAATAAATAAATAAATAAATAAATAAAATATGTTCTGGAAATCTAATAAAAAATGGTATTATCTAGTTTAATTTTTTTTAAGTTGGGGATGGTAATAGGAGCGGGGAGCAAATGTATGTCAGCCATCTATAATAATAATAATAATAATAATAATAATAATAGTGTAATATGCTAATTAGACTGGACAGCCGAACAACCTTCTGGATGTCATTCTGGACGTCCTTCCAGATGAAGCTGCTATAGTGGGGGCCGAGGCAGAGGCAGTTAGGGGCAATCAGGCAATCAGGTGAGCAGTTAGGGGCGATCAGGCAGGCAGGCAGAGTGGTTAGGGGCAATCAGGCAGGCAGGCGAGCGGTTAGGGGCAATCAGGCAGGCAGGCAGGTGAGTGGTTAGGAGCCAGTGGTCCTGGATTGTGAGAGGGTGCAGGCTGGGCTGAGGGACCCACCCTCTCCGTGCACGAATTTCATGCACCAGGCCACTAGTTTCCTTTATATAACTGATGCCCATAGAGGAGAAATGAGAATTAAAGTATTATTATTGTGATTTTATATAATCTGTTAATGACCTTCGAATTCCCGTATATTTTAGCTAAGAGCATGAGAAGTAAGAGGCTGGTATTTTTGAAATACTCAAGAATATATGAAGTCCAGAAAAAACTAATCTCTCAAATTTTAATTATTATGACAGAAACTTACAGTTCTAATAGTAATAATTATATTTTAAATAAAGAACTAATTGATCACAAAAATTTCTTTAATATATTGATATTTGTTTTACATTATAAATAATCTGTAGTCATATAGTTGAATAGATGACAGAGACAGTTATACTGTTTACTAGAGGCCTAGTGCACGAAATCCGTGCATGGGGGGGTGGGTCCCTTAGCCCAGCCTGCACCTTCTCCAATCCGGGACCCCTCAGGGGATGTCGGACTGCTGGTTCAGGCCCAGTCCCACAGGGATTCCTGCGGGATTGGGCCTAAACTGGCAGTTGGATATCCCTCTCACAATCCGGGACTGCTGGCTCCTAACTGCTCACCTGCCTGATCACCCCTAACCACTCTGCCTGCCTGCCTGATAATCACTAATCCCTCTGCCTGCCAGCCTGATTGCCCCTAAACATCTCTCTGCTGGCCTGATCGCCCCTAAATGCCTCTGCCTCTGTCACCATGGCTTTGTCTAGAATAGTGGTTCTCAACCTTCTGGCCCTTTAAATACAGTTCCTTGTGTTGTGACCCAACCATAAAATTATTTTCGTTGCTACTTCATAACTGTAATGTTGCTACTATTATGAATCATAATGTAAATATCTGATATGCAGGATGGTCTTAGGCAACCCGTGAAAGGGTCGTTCGACCACCAAAGGGGTTGTGGCCCACAGGTTGAGAACCGCTGGTCTAGAAGGACGTCTGGAAGATGTCCTGTCTATCTGGTCTAATTAGCATATTACCCTTTTATTAGTATAGATAGATGTGCTAAACCAGATCTACACTGGAAGATCAAAAGAGATGATCAATGTTTTGAGCTTTATGAGATAATAATGGTATTTATTTTCCTAGAGTTGTAAATAAGGTTACCTGAGTTAATGAATGTAAAGCACTTAGAACTGTGCCTGGTACAGAGTAAATGGCTATACATACCTAATGTTTTACCTAAATAATAATACATATAGATAAAATATTATAGAACCATTTTAGTTTCTCCTCTCATCAGTTTTTTAACAAATATTGTAACAGAGTCTTCATAGTATATTATCTCTTAAAAAAACACATTGTAATTGTGAGATTGTACTTGGCTTTTTTTTTTTTTGCCTACTCTTTAAGTGCCTTAAATCTATTTGCTATGTTCTTTTCAGCTTCTGCTACTTTCTAAAAAGAAAAATGACAAAGAAAGCAAAGCATATGCCATATTTGCATGTCAAAGACATTTATTTACCTAGACTTTGCAAATAACCACTTCTATGGCACCAATAACCACTTGCATGGTGGCAGTTAATGACATATGCCAGATGAATTATAGGCAACAATTGAAAATTCCTCTATTTTATGACTATGTACCTCTTTATCTGAGGAAAGGATGGTATATACTTTGCCCCTGACACCTCCATAAAAGACTAGTATACCTTTGCAATGAAATTTCACAAGGGAATACAATTATAATATTAGAGGCCCAGTGCATGAAATTTGTGCACAGGTAGGGTTCCCTAGGCCTGGCTGGTGATCAGGGCCAAACAGGTTCCCGCCTTCCCCGTCTCCCCGCCTCCTCCTTCCCTCGCCACCCACACGCCGCCGCCGCCACCACCACCACGCGGTTCCCCCTGCCTCCCCGCCTCCTCCTTCCCTTGCTCCCTCAGCGCCCCGCTGCTGCTGCTGGTCATCCATCATGTTCTGTGCTGCCCCCTGGTGATCAGTGCACGTCATAGTGAGCAATCAAACTCCCAGTCTCCAGGTGGAATTCCCAAGGGGACACTTGCATATTAGCCTTTTACATATGTAGATTATAAAGATAATATATATGTAATTTCATTTGTATAAAGTATAAAATAAGGTAATAGCATTATAATAAAATATATAATTAAAATACAGGGTGTTTGGTAGCAAACAATGAGTATGCACATTGTTTAGTGTACTTCTTTTAAGTCTTGTCCATTTTCAAAAAAGCACTGATTACTCACTAGACCCATTGTAACCCAGGCACTGAATATGTAGGTAGTGGTTTCTCAAAGAAAAACTATGTGTATGTTGAAGACGTGAGTTTGAACATGATGAATACATAGGATACTCAAAGAGAGATGGAAATAAAATATAATCATGAAAGAGAACCACCTCAGTAACCCCTGATACTATGTGGCAGGGTGCCATACAGTCTTGGTTAATGAAATTTTTGACCTGTTTAATTATTTGAGAATATTTAGATAGAACGAAATGAACTACTAATAGCAATTTTTATCTTGCACATAATTTAAAATCCTAATTAAGTACATTTTCTGCTCATATCTAATACAATTAATCTTTCTTTGAATATAAGTAGTAAAGTATGACATAGGTAGTCAAGAAGAATCATTTAAAAAAATTTTTTTTAAATTGATTTTAGAGAGGAAGGGAGAGGGAGAGAGAGATAGAAACATCAATAATGAGAGAAAATCATCTCTGCCTCCTGCACACCCCCTACAGGGGATCAAGTACACAACCCAGGCATGTGCACTTGACCAGAATCGAACCTGGGACACTTCAGTTTACAGGCTGACACTCTCTCCACTGAGCCAAATAGCCTAGGGCAAGAAGAGTCTTAATGTTTGTTTGAAAAATCCACTTGTACGAGTCCATATTCAAGAATGCTATAGCCTTGGCTGGGTAGTTCAGTTAGAGTGTCATCCCAATAAGCCAAGGTTGCGGCTTCGATCCCTGGTCAGGGCACATACAAGAATCAACCAATGAATGCATAAGTGAGTGGAATGACAAATCGGTGACTCTCTCCCCTTCTCTCTATCTCCCCCCCCTTCCTTTCTTTCTAAAATCAGTCAATTTTTTTAAAAAGCTATAGGAGGGATTCCTGAGTCAGGAGGGAGTCTGAGTGAAATTCTTCCCAATACTCTCAATGTCTGGCTTCTCATCATATCTCTTAGAACTTTTTATTGAGAGATTGTGATTTGTAGAGGAATTGTTAACATCTTTTCGAAAGGAAATAATTTTGTAGTTATTTCATTATAGATCCAGTAAATTGTTTCTTAGTATAATACATCATTCAATAAAACGTTCACCATTTACATGGCGATAAATAATTCTGTAACAAAGCAAATTACTCTGAACACAACTATTGATCAACTATTAAAATATAAAAAGAGATATATTTTAACGATTTGTTCAGAATAATTTATTTTTCAAGAAATTTGGTATCTTAATAAAATGTATTACTTCTTACTTGACAGAGAACACAGAAGAGTGGGATGGTGTCAGAACAGGGCCTTAGCCAGCCCAGTTCCTAGTATGAACCAAGGTACAACAGAATTCCCTTAGGCTGCGTGAGGTACACGCTACTTCCAGGCTCTTTCACCGGAGTTAAAAATCAAATTAAGATAATAAGCAATCAGAATTTTTACTTTCTAACTTTTCCCATTGCTTATATTTCTTTTTCCTGAGATCTCAAACACTGCATTCTTTAAATTACCTTTCTTCTCTTCATTTCTCAGTTTTTGTACATTAGCCTGCCCTTCAAGCTAACAGTGATATTTCTTACGAGTAATGGCCAAATTGAGCTCCCTCCTTTTGAATGAGGGACTTCCCTACCTAGATTTGGTCAAAATATAAACAATTATGACTTCCAGAAATTTTTTCCCTTTCTAAACTAGCCATGTGAAAGCCTATACCTTTCATCACACTTTATTGTGTCAGTTATATTTTTTGTCATATATTTTTATTGTAAATACAGTTATGGTTATTTGATTGCTAATGATAGATTTTCTTTTACTGGGGCAGAGAAATGTTTCTGTATCTCAGTTTAAATGGATAATTTTATTAATAACTGATGCTTATGTAAGCTCACTGCCAGGTCATGAGTTTGGTCAATTATCCAAATTCGAATATTACAAAGGTAGGTAGGCTTTATTTTAATTTTTTCTTAATATATTGGTCCCTAGATATTGATATTTATATCAAAATGCAAAAACCAATATAAGGTTTAATCTTCAATTAAAGGGATATAATTAGCTAATTTGAAACAAAAATATTTCAAAAATTATAAATTAAAAATTTACCATAAGTCATAATTAAATTAGTTTTCCATTGTATGTTTAAAAGCAAAAAAAATAGATATCTGATGTAATGTAATGATATGAAATTCTCATTCAATAGATTGAGGACATAAACAATACGGGAACTGAATCAGCATCAGAGGTAAATGGACATTTACTTTAATGAAACATTCACCTAAAACTATCTGATTCACAAATAATCTTTTAATTAAAAATTAAGTTTTTATTCTTTTTATTATAAATTCAGCAACAACAATAAAAAGGACAAAAATATTTTGCAAAGCAAGATCATATTTTTGCACTTTTGACATTATACCTTAGTGTTTTTAAAGAAAAGTATGTTTTGTTTTCATGGTTAGAGACAGTCAGTTTGAGATAACTCTGGCAAGGCTACATATTTTTTTTAACTATCACTAATAGTTGAGATTGTTGAAAGCTTACAGTTTAAAAAGGCAGTTTTCTTTTCATCATTTGTCTTCTTTCCTCAGAGTTCCTGATAGTTTATTTGGTTATCACATATTAGTAGAGAGTATAGTATTATCTATCACCATGAAGAAAAATTTAACAGCCACAGAAAATTTAGTTACCCCTTTCTATCTAACAGAGGGTTAAAAATCAATTTGATGGTGTGCCTAAAACTACAGCCACATAAATTGGAACCAACAATAGATTATGTAATGCAACTAAAATACATTAAAAACAAAAACAAATTTAAGAGTTTCAAGAAGCTCAAATGCTGAAGAGTTTTGTTTCTAGTATAAAAATGTTTTATAAGTCACTTGGAAATCCTGTTTGTTTTTACCTACTAAATATTTGCTTTACTAAGTATTTAAAAACTTGCATGGAGAGCCCAGCCAGTCTGGCTCAGTGGTTGAGTGTCGACCTGTGATCCAGAAGGTCACAGTTTGATTCCAGGTTGGGGTATGCTCTGGTTGTGGGCTCGATCCCCAGTAGGGGTGTGCAGGAGGCACCTGATCAATGATTCTCTGTCATTGATATTTGTCTCTCTCTCCCTCTCCGTGAAATCAATAAAAAACATTTTAAAGAGAGATAAAAACTTGCATAGAGAGAAAAATGGAGAAACTTTGTGTGTTGAAACTGAATCCTTCTACCATCAAATTGATTTACAGTGTACTCACTTGCACACTACCTTTTGTGGGATTAGTGCATGAATAGCTACTAGTAAATTCAGCTAATGTCATGTAGTTTTATCTGAACAGCTGTATTAACACCATCTTCTAGGGAAGAAGATGATCCTTGAACCTTATCAGCAATGGATTTGCATTACATTAACTCATAATGTACAATGACTTTGGAGATAGAGCTATTTAATAAAAATCTGTAAAAAAATATAAATTTTTGTTCTTCATAACATTGATGGCAATGTAATGAAATTCACCAATGATGGAGGTAAAGTCCCATGAAACCTAAGTTTTGATTAGGAATATGCTAATTGTCTATTTTATAAATTAGGAAGGAGATGATTCACTACTTATAACAGTGGTTCCTGTGAAATCACACAAAACATCTGGAAAAATAAAGAATTTTGAGGATCTAGAAAAAGAAAGAGAAGAAAAAGAAAGGGTCAAGTCTGAAGAAGATAAAAGAATAAGATATGAAGAACAACGACGGTCTCTCAAGGAAGCAAAGTGTCTTTCCCTGGTCATGGTAATTCTTTTTTTTTTTTCCCTTAAGGAGCAAGTTAAAGCAGTAGAGATGGTTATCAGAATTTACTTTATGATTAAAAGATGGGTTTTTATGTTTTCTTAGGATGATGAACTGGATGATGAGGCAAAAAAAGAATCAACTTCTCCTGGAAAACTGAAGCTAACCTTTGAAGAATTAGAAAGACAAAGGCAAGAAAATCGAAGGAAGCAAGCTGAAGAAGAAGCAAGACAACGTTTAGAAGAAGAGAAGCGTGCTTTTGAAGAAGCAAGGCAGCAAATGGTAAAACAATCTTATCTATACTAATAATCTATACTAATAAAAGGGTAATATGGTAATTAGACCGGATAGACCAGATGTCCTTCCGGACAAAGCCGCAGTGGCTGCGTGGGCCAAGGAGGGCCGGCAGCCATGGCGGCAGCAGCAGTGGAGGTATAGGGGGTGGCGCCTTCCCATGATCGGCCCAGTTTTCTCCTGCAGAGGGAGGCCAGACTGCGGCTTAGGCCCGCTCCCCTCTAAGCCATCAGTAGGACATCCCCTGAGGGCTCCCGGACTGTGAGAGGGGGCAGGCCGGGCTGAGGGATCCCCCAAGTGCACCAGGCCTCTAGTATGTGTATACACACACACACACACACACACACACACATAGTGTAATCATTAAGAACATGAGTTTTGGAGCCAGACTGCCTGGGTTCAGATGTCTTCCATTAAAGTGTATAACATGGGCATTATTTAACCTGTCTTAGTTTCCTCATTTATAAAATTGTGAAAATAATTGTGCCTACTTTTTTAAAAAAAATATGTTTTATTGATTTTTTACAGAGAGGAAGGGAGAGGGATAGAGAGTTAGAAACATCGATGATGTGCCTGCAACCAAGGTACATGCCCTTGACCGGAATCGAACCTGGGACTTTTGTGTCAGCAGGCTGACGCTCTATCCACTGAGCCAAACCGGTTAGGACTGTGCCTACTTCTTAATTGTTAAAAGAGTTAATACCAAAAGCAGTTACAATAGTGTCATATAATAAGTGCTTCAAAAATGTTAACTCTTATTATATTAATAGATTTATCAATGAAAAATAAAATTGAAATAAGAAAACACCAATTCCAGATTGCATAAGAATTTAAAAATGGAACCTCTATAATTTTTTAAAGCTTTCATAATTTCTTCATCAACTTTTATTAATGATGTTCTAAGGAGTATATCTCCAAAATTTTATTTTTTATTTTTTAATTTTTTTAAAAATATATTTTATTAGTTTTTTACAGAGAGGAAGGGCTAGGGATAGAGAGTCAGAAACATTGATGAGAAAGAAACATCGATCAGCTGCCTCCTGCACACTCCCCACTGGGTATGTGCCCGCAACCAAGGTACATGCCCTTGACCGGAATCAAACCCGGGACCCTTGAGTCCGTAGGCCGATGCTCTATCCACTGAGCCAAACCGGTTAGGGCCAAAATTTTAATTTTTTAAACATTTGTTTGAAAATGTTATGAATTTTGAATAATCATAGTTGCATAATATCTATATATTTTAGATATCTTTAGTTGTCAGCTTAGTGAACTGAAATAGAAATACCATCAATTAATCAAATAACAAATTTCAATTTAATGTTAAATTAGAATCTTAATTATAAAATAAAATTTGACTTTTACAGAAATATTTTTTAATGAGAAATTTATTTTACTTCCAAAGAGAGACTGTGTAGGTATATTTTAACCTCAGTTTAAGTACATTCACACACACACACACACACACACACACACACACACACTTGTGCTAAATGTTTGCTCTGGGAAAGTTAATGTTTAATAACTCTTAAATGACCCCTTAAATTTTTAAATGCTTCATTGATCTATTTAAAATTTTGACTTGCTTGAGAAGTTTTATTTAACTTGAGTATATATTTATTTGGAATTTGTTCAAATTTGAATATTTTATCATATAAAATATTATAAAAGAAGGGGATTTAGGTCAAGTATATTTAGGGCAAAGAAATATTCCTGTTGAGATGGCTGATTCTGTGCCCTTTGATTGATAATTCATTCCTGTCTTTGATGAGTGAGAGTTGTTTCTTGGCTAGGTAAATGAAGAGGAGGAAAACCAAGACACAGAAAACATTTTTAAAAGGTACCGCCCTGGGAAACTCAAACTCAGTTTTGAAGAGCTGGAAAGACAAAGGAGAGAAGAGGAAAAAAGGAAAGCAGAAGAAGAAGCCAGAAGGAGAATAGAGGAGGAAAAGAAGGCATTTGCTGAAGCACGGAGAAGCATGGTAAGACAGAATATAACTGGATAATGCCATTAGGATTCACTCAGGTTTTCAGTTAAGAGAAACCATTAAACTTTGGGGAATACCCTGTTGTTTCTGAAATTTGTGCCAACAGTAGGGATGGCAAACAGTTTTTAAGTCTCCTGTGATGTAACACCTGCCATTTACAGGTGTTTGTTTCCATGTGGTGTTGAGAAGGTTCTAATTGAATTGCTTTGACTGGCATAGAGAGTTGAATATGGTCTTCCTTTTTCTGGGAGAGCATGTTTTCCAGGGCTAAGTATCCAAGTAGGGAATTTTTTTTATCTCCACCTTTCCTTCCCTCCTCTCCACTCTCCTTTCCCTTCCCACATTTCCTCCTTCCTCCCTTCCTCCTTCTCTCTTTTCAATTTCCATCACATCCAGTATATATTTAAAGCTATTTAATCACAAGTATTTAACTCCAAAATGCTCACCAGCAATATCATTGCTGGATATTGCTACCAACCTTAACTCTCACAAAGTTATACTTCTCATACCATTTTAATGATTGTGAAATCTAGTTATCTGACAAACTTTCTTTTCAAGAAAAGGTGACATGTGAACACAGCATCTCCTCCTTGAAACACTTCCATTGGCTTTGGTGGTCTGGCTTTCTTCCTGTGCCTGGGTGAGCTTCAGATACATATATCCAAGTGTTGATGAGGCTTTGTTACCCAACCAGATACTCACAACAGAAAAATCTATCATTTTTCTCACATTTCCCACTTCTACCACTATAATCCAGGTCATTGTTACCCTTTGCCTTGGGCCAACTCTTAATTAACTTGTTTTCTTGCCCTTAATCCATTCTTCCCTGAAAAGCCAGCAGTGATCTTTCTTTTAAAAAAAAAGAAAAAAAAAAAGTGAATTTGACAATGTTAAAAAATTTTCCACTTCCTGTAAGCAAAAAACACAAACTTTTAAAACAAATTTCTTTATAATCTTGCCCTACTATATTTCTCGTTCATTTCTTGATTCTTCTTTGACCTGCCAGACATGCTAAATTTCTTCCCAACTCTTCAAAAAGCTAGGCTTTCATGAATGCTATGTGAAGCATGTCCCTCGGTCCTTTCCCTGTGTTCTGCTATTTCCTAGTTCCATTTTCTCTGGGAAGCCTTCCCTGCTAACACGTGTTCCAGAGAGGTCTTCCTTTTATGCCTTCTCATAACATTTAGGACTTCCCCAGCGTAACACTAATGTTGTATTGTCGCTACACTCAGTGAGGCTGAGACCATTCACCAAGCATGTGGAACAACATATTCTAGCATAAAAAACTTCTGTTAATGTTTGTGGAATAAGTGAGATTAAAACTGTCTTATGTGCATTGTGAGGTAATCCTTGCTTCACAAATGGGTTCTACACAAAACCCCTGCAAACATTGTGAAACCACTTATTTTTTGTAGAATAATTCAGAAATGGTAAATGAAATAGCTATGAAGATCAGGAAAGCTACTCCTGGGGGCAGATTTTAGGCCCAGTGATTCACTAGTGGAATAGTGCAGGGAAGGAAAACTGTATTAAACAAAAAATCTAGTTTCCTAGAGACATTTATGTTATCAGAAAAGAGAGTTTCCCCTTCATTTATATTGTTTTCTTATCCAGGGCCAAGTATCATCATTTCATATTATAGATCAGCTAATTCATATATCACTAAAATTTTTTTTTCCAATCTTTGGATGGTAAGACCATATAAACATTGTTTCTTTTCTTTTCTTTTTTAAAAATATATTTTATTGATTTTTTACAGAGAGGAAGGGAGAGGGACAGAGAGCTAGAAACATCTATGAGAGAGAAACATCGATCAGCTGCCTCCTGCAAGCCCCCCACTGGGGATGTGCCCGCAACCAAGGCACATGCCCTTAACCGGAATTGAACCTGGGACCCTTGAATCCGCAGGCCAACGCTCTATCCACTGAGCCAAACCAGACAGGGCTAAACATTGTTTCTTAGTTGAACTGGTTCTTTGGTAAAGCCTGTCATATATAAATCTTAGAACAAATAATTACCCTTTGCCTCTCTCTTTCCCCTATGTCTATTTCAAGCCAGAAGTTTATGTATATACTTTCAGAAGATAGAAGAAGAGAAGTAGGCAATTGCTTTTCATGGTGAAGTGTATTCCAAGTCAATGATTTTAAAGCAAAATTTCTAATTGCAATTTAGAGATTGCCTATATACAGGGAATAATGTAATAATAAAACTGCCATTTTGTTATCATGGTGTCAAGCACAACTAAGTGTTTCCATACTTTATTTAGTTCTCATGACAACTCCATGCAAGTTGTTGCAGATAGATTCAGACTTTGGCTAGATAACTTGCCCAAGGTCACATCTAAATGGCTGTTAGACTAGATAACAGTATGGTGATTACAAGAGGGATAGTGGGGTGGAGAGAGGTAGGAGACAGTAAAGGGGAGATAAATGGTGATGGAAGAAAACTTCACTGGGGGTGCTGATGTATTATAGATTTGTACCCCTGAAACCCATGTAATTTTATTAACCAATGTCACCCCATAAATTCAATTTCTGGGGAAAAAAATGGCAGTCAGACATGGAATTCATGAAAGTACTAAAAAGAGTCTAAATCATTATTTATAATTTTATTATAGAAAGATCTTTAAGATTTGATTCCTCCATTTACCACTTACTTGTATTAACTTTGAACAAGTTACTTTTCAGTGCCTTAAAATGGGGATATTAATAATTCCTAGTTCGTAGAGTTACAGATAAAATAATTCAATACATGTAAAGTGCTTAGCATTGTTCCTGGCAGCTATATTAACTATTATTTATTTTTCAATTGGGCTGACCATAAATAAATCAGTACAGCCCAGCCAGTGTGACTCAGTGTGGTTGAGTGTTGACCTATGAACCAGGAGGTCATTGTTCAATTCCTGGTCAGGGCACATGCTCAGGTTGTGGGCTTGATCCCCAGTATGGGGTGTACAGGAGGCAGCCAATTAATTTCTCTCTCATCATTGATGTTTCTACGCTCTCTCCCTTCCTCTCTGAAATCAATTAATCAATAAATAAATCAGTATAATAAAATCATAGCATTAATTTCTGCTTGATTATGAAGGGATCCTGAGGGGTTATCTAATTCATTCAGACAAAACTGTGATTAAACTGAAATGCTCTATTTTTTTTTTAACCACAGGTTTATTTTAATCCAATTAAAAAGTATTTACTATTAGGGGATCTTAATGTCTAATTTCAATAACTGATAGTATAAACTCAAAGTATTTCATCGTGTTCATTGGGATGGAGAATAGATGGTCACCATTTCCTCTGTAATCACAAAATACCTTAGTCTACATTTTTTTAAATTAAATATTTATTGTTCAGATTATTACATTTGTTCCTCTTTTTTCCCCCCATAATTCCCCTCCTCCCAGTTCCCGCCCCACCCTTCACCCTCACTCCCCACCCACTGTCCTCATCCATAGGTGTACGATTTTTATCCAGTCTCTTCCCGCATCTCCCACACCCCTTACCCCTCCAAGAATAGTCAGTCCATTCCCTTTCTATGTCCCTGATTCTATTATAATCACCAGTTAATTCTGTACATCAGATTATTTATTCACTTGATTCTTAAATTCACTTGTTGATAGATGCATATTTGTTGTTCATAATTTGTATCTTTACCTTTTTCTTCTTCCTCTTCTTAAAGGATACCTTTCAGCATTTCATATAATACTGGTTTGGTGGTGATGAACTCCTTTAGCTTTTCCTTATCTGTGAAGCTCTTTATCTGACCTTCTATTCTGAATGATAGCTTTGCTGGATAAAGTAATCTTGGTTGTAGGTTCTTGGTATTCATCACTTTGAATATTTCTTGCCTCTCCCTTTTGGCCTGCAAAGTTTCTGTTGAGAAATCAGCTGACAGTCGTCTGGGTATTCCCTTGTAGGTAACTGAGTTTCTTTCTCTTGCTGCTTTTAAGATTCTCTCTTTGTCTTTTGCTCTTGGCATTTTAATTATGATGTGTCTTGGTGTGGTCCTCTTTGGATTCCTTTTGTTTGGGGTTCTCTATGCTTCCCGGACCTGTAAGTCTATTTCTTTCACCAGGTAGGGGAAGTTTTCTGTCATTATTTCTTCAAATAGGTTTTCAATATCTTGCTCTCTCTCATCTTCTGGCACCCCTATAATTCGGATGTTGGTACGCTTGAAGCTGTCCCAGAGGCTCCTTACACTATCTTCGTATTTTCGGATTATTTATTCATTTTGCTTTTCCGGTTGGGTATTTTTTGCTTCTTCGCATTTCAAATCTTTGACTTGATTCTTGCGCAACTCTGGTGTGCTGTTGAGTGTCTGTATAATATTCTTTATTTCAGTCAGTGTATGCTTAATTTCTAGTTGGTTCTTTATCACAACATCGAGGGTCTCATTAGATTTCTTGTAGATCCCATTAAGTTTATTGGCAGTTTCTAGAAACTTATTGAAAGATCTTAAAAGTGTGGTTTTGAGTTCTATATCCTCCATTTCTGTCATGTTTCTTTGTCTCCGCATTTTTTATGCTTTCTTGGTGCACCCCCTTGTCGTCTTTGTGCACAGTCTTGTTGTAGTTAAGCCTTGATTGTTGTAGGTAATACTGGCAGGGATTTGACCTCCAGGCCAGCTGGCTATGAGAATCAGCTGTGTGTGCAGTGGGAGAACTTCTGTGCTGGATCTCTAGGGCGGTGCTAATCTAGCCTTTGCCTGAGGCTATCCGGCAAATGCCTCTGTGCAGGGCTTGGGCGGGGCGGGTCCCAGGGGATCAACAGGGCGGGTGGAGGGAGCAGTTATGGCTGCTCTTGGTCCCGTTCCCAGAGGCTCTGCCTCTCAGAGTCCCAGCAACCACTGCAAACCTCGGAGAGAAAGCTGCCTTCGTGTTCCGACCGAAGCCAGACAGTCCCGCTTCTCCCGTTTGAGTCTGGGTCCCTAGAGACTCGCCCGGATCTGGAGCTCAGTCTGAGACTCCCTCCCGAGTGAAACAGACAACCGCACCCTCAGCCGCCAGCCCGCTCCGCACGCACCTTAGTATTTGACTTCAGCACTGCACCTCCTCTGAGTCTCGGTATGCTATTCTCTTTCCTCCTAGTTGTAGAACTTCCACTCAGCCAGCCTTCCTGTGGTTCTGGGTGATGTCCGTTCCGTCTTTTAGTTGTATTTTTGAAGTGTTTGTTCGAGGCAGCAAACTCCGGAGTTAACCTATGCCGCCATCTTGGTTTTTTCCCTACATTTTTCTAATAATTCCTCCCATTTATTGTTTTGTATTTTTTTAAAATATATTTTATTGATTTTTACAGAGAGGAAGGGAGACAGAGAGTTAGAAACATCGATGAGAGAGAAACATCGATCAGCTGCCTCCTGCACATCTCCCACTGGGGATGTGCCCGCAACCCAGGTACATGCCCTTGACCGGAATCGAACCTGGGACCCCTCAGTCCGCAGGCCGACGCTCCATCCACTGAGCCAAACCGGTTTTGGCTGTTTTGTATTTTTGAAGATAATTTAAGTCTCCTGGTTTTTAGTTCAATGTACAACCTTTTTATTCCAGTAATCATAGTTTCTATAAGAAATATTCCCTTTTTAGTACTAGTAAGCATAATTCTGACAAGGGTGATAAAATAATTATTTTATATAGGTAGTAGATGATGACTCCCCAGAGATGTATAAAACAATCTCTCAAGAATCTCTTACACCGGGAAAACTGGAATTTAATTTTGAAGAATTATTAAAACAAAAAATGGAAGAAGAAAAACGACGAACAGAGGAAGAACGGAAGCATAAGCTAGAAATGGAAAAACAGGAATTTGAACAACTGAGACAAGAAATGGGAGAGGTAAGGTTTTAAAAATATTCATTTGTATTCCACAAATATTAATTAATCTAAGTATTTTACATATATTTCCTTATAATAACTTTGTTAGTATTTATTATTCACATAAAGGACAAAACATACTCCAATGAGGCACTTGATACAGTTGCTCATATTGTTGAAACTGATAAACTGATACATGTAATCTAAAAAAGATAAAACTAAAGGAGTACCATGGATACTAATAGGAACATGAGTTTGGCAAGTCTTTGAGTCACTTTATTTTACTAAAGATAGAACTTTGGTGCTGTCACATTTTAGTGTGACTTCTGTAGTGTTGAAATCACACACACACACACACACACACACACACACACACACACACACAGACTGTACACGGCTGTCTGCATGGGCATGCAACTTGTGCCCTCACAGGACCCCATGTTCAGAAGGGTCATGTTTAGTGGTTTAATGCTCTCAGGTTGCCATCTTGAAATGTTTAATGATTTACTTTGAATCTGTTATGAAAGCCGACTGGACAATGGAACCTGTGCTTGAGTCTTAGAGCCTTGGCTCACCCACATATCCTGCCTCCCTATGGTGGGTTCTCAGGAGCCCTCTTCCCACCTCCTGATGCCCCCAAGGCCCTACCTTCTGCTTTTTGCCCTTGGACGCTGCAGCCCTTCATCTGAATGGCCAACCAATTGCATAGGCAGAGAGGAAAGGGAAAGGGAGGGGTCAGCATTCCAAGTCTCCCTCTGCCACTGATGGGGAGAGGCAGACAGCAAATGAACAGGGTTGGGGAACCAGTGGCTGTCACAACCTTGGACTAGCAGTGACACGGCATGTTTGGTAGGTGACTTGGTGGGAGCCCCTTGCCAATTCCTCCTAATCTAGGAACTGAGGGGTTCCTATGCAGAGGTTGCAATTTCTTAGAAGTTGCCTCTTCGTCATGTGTTAGGGCATTGGGCCTGTGGGGATATTTGCTTCCTTGCCGTCACTGACCAAGAGACTATAAAGGCTGTATAAATATATAGTTAATAAAATTAGTATGCTATAGGGAAATATTCCAAGGTCTAGCCTAAATTATAGCATTTATTTGGAAAAGGAAGCTGAAAATGAATATCATAAATTTATTAGTTTCTGGTATTTTAAGTAGTCTGTTTTTACCTCTAGATGAAAAAATAGAGGTAGTACAAAGAAATGTTTTCCCCCCTTAAATGAGCCATTAGGCCTCATGTCACATTCACTGTGACTACCTCCCCTAACCCATCCCTGCTTTTTTTGCCCCCTCAGCCTAAAATTGTAGATCTTCTCCAGGAAAAGTTTACCAGGAATAACAGCAATATTTACCATTTCATTTAATGAGATTAGGTTTTAGTGTAAGAAGTATACAAAGAACTAGTAATCACAATAGACAGGGTAAGGACTGGGGTGGGGTGGGAGCAATGGGTGACATCTGTATGATCAACAAATTTTAGAAAAGAACTAGTAATCATAAATTGTGAAAAGCCAAGGGAAAGGAATGTGAAAAGTTTTCAAAATAGAGTGCTATAAAAAATTAGATCCCGCCCTGGCTGGTGGCGGCTCAGTTGGTTGGAGTGTTGTCCAGTACACCAAGGGTTCAATTTCTGGTCAGGATACACACTTAGGTTGCAGGTTCCATCACCGGTTGGGACGCATATGGGAGACAACTGATGAATGTTTCTCTATTAATCTTTGTTTATCTCCCTTCCTCTCTAAAAATCAATAAAAGCATATCCTTGTGTGAGGATTAAAGAAAGAAGAGTAAAATGAAGAGAGACACTTCTTTTAAAAAAAATTAGATCCTGATTTTGATTGACTCCTTTTCTTGGCAAAATATAAAATTGAGAATACAAGTGATAGTGAAGTGTAGGGATTTTACCAGACTGTATCTGTAGAGGTGCTGTATCATTTGAGTATTAAGATTGACATTTAACTTTATTAGGCCACCAGCCATCATCAAATCTAAGACAAAAAGCATTTAGAGATACTCTGACTCTATTATATAGAGATGAAAAAATCATGTCCAGTGAGTTAAGCGATAAAATGGCCACACAGTATGAGTGTCAGAACTAGAACTTATATCTGACTCCTCCCTATCTCAGTGTTCTTTGAACAAAGAGCTTCCTACAATTCCTCGTAAAAGTTAATTTTTGATATACATACTTTAGCAGGTTGTATTTAAGTATTGTGCAGGGAGGTTATTTAACCTTTATTTTGGGTTTTAAATAGGAAATGGTGAACACTTTTTGGATGTTTATAATACAAACTCATTTTTTAGTATTTAATATATAAAATACCTTTTTTTTTTTTTAAGGAAGAGGAAGAAAATGAAACCTTTGAATTGAGCAGGGAATATGAAGAATTAATCAAATTGAAAAGGAGTGGCTCCATTCAAGCTAAAAATCTAAAAAGCAAGTTTGAAAAAATTGGACAGTTGTCTGAAAAAGAAATACAGAAAAAGATAGAAGAAGAACGAGCAAGAAGGAGAGCGATTGACCTTGAAATTAAAGAGCGAGAAGCAGAACACTTCCATGAGGTAAACTATTTTATATTTAACGTTGTTATGGTACTAAAATGATGATTCAACAGAAGTTAACACTGGCTTTGAAATAAGTTTTGGGAACTAAATAGCAAAAACACATCAAGATCTTAAAAGACTTTAAAATTATTTTTCCACTCTAGCATTGTTTCACAATTTTATTGGAATTAAAGCCAATAGTGAACACCAAATGTTTCACTCTAGCAAAAAACAAAACAAAATTATTTATGGGCGTAAGTTTTAGCTTGAATCAGTACAAGCAATATATATTTGAATTAAACTCCAGAGATTATTCATTTACTCCAGTGATGGCGAACCTATGACACGCGTGTCAGAGGTGACACACGAACTCATTTTTTTGGTTGATTTTTGTTAAATGGCATTTAAATATATAAAATAAATATCAAAAATATAAATCTTTGTTTTACTATGGTTGCAAATATCAAAAAATTTCTATATGGCCCTGACTGGTTTGGCTCAGTGGATAGAGCGTCAGCCTGTGGACTGAAGGGTCCCAGGTTCGATTCCGGTCAAGGACATGTACCATGTTGCGGGCACATTCCCAGTGGAGGGTGTGCAGGAGGCAGCTGATCGATGTTTCTCTCTCATTGATGTTTCTAACTCTCTATCCCTTTCCCTTCCTCTCTGTAAAAAATCAATAAAATATATTTAAAAAAAAATTTCTATATGTGACACGGCACCAGAGTTAAGTTAGGGTTTTTCAAAATGCTGACACGCCGAGCTCAAAAGGCTCGCCATCACTGATTTACTCTCTTAAAGATGAGGCCAATAAACCCTATATGACTAAATAAAAATTCAGATAGCATGAATTTGAAGTACCTCCAAGTGTAAAATGAGGCGATCACTAAATGACCTGTAAAGTCCCCTCCAGTTTGAGGACTAGTTCCATGGTTATGAATATTGGTTTAAATAGGACCTTGGAATGTTTTTCTGCCAGAGCATTCAACCAGTATTTCTCTAAAAATGCATTTTCATCAGATGTTCAACTAAGAAAACAGGTGTGGAAGCTGGGAGGGCCATCAGAGGAGGTTGTTAATAGAAAGTATGTGCAAATTCTCAAGATTAAAAAGAATCTACTATTGAGGCAAACAGAGTGCAAAAACAGCTAATGATAAAGATCCAAGTACAGGTGAGATGACCATGAAAGGTCGTAGATGACACGTTAAGAAACTGTTTTATCGGGGAGCACTGAAGGGATTTTAAAAACACGGAGTAATATCAAGTTAGCATCTTAGATGGTTTTAGATTCATACATTAAAAAATTTACTTGAAAGCCTAGTATGTCCCAGGGACTGTTCTGGACACAAGGACTGCATTTTTTGAGCTGTATTTAGATAAAGTAAAAGCTGTCTGAAACAGGTACTGAACTCAGGTGAGAAGCAGGAGCTAGGGATTGTCACTTTTATGGATAGTATTTTAAAGTATAGAAACAGATAAAACCATTTTGAAACAGTTAATAGTTTGAAAGTAAATGATAAAACCCTGGAGAACACCAACATTTAATGTTTGTTTGGCCAAAATATCAGGTGGTTCTTTAGCAAGATAAATGTCGCTCTATCTAAAGTTCCATAAGCATGCATTTGATTCCCTTTGTTAAAGGCAGTGAAACCTCAGAGCAGTAATACCGAGCCCTATAAAATATGTAAGATAGAAATAAATGGTTACTTGTTTTATTGCTATTTATTAGCTCTCTTTTGTTTAAAAGGATATGGTACTAGGACATGGTTGATCTATAACCCATGTGGATGCCCTGAACACTGTTTCCTGTGAAGAATGTTGACATTCCTCTGAATATATCCCTCTAGATCAGTGGTTCTCAACCTTCGTAATGCCGCAACCTTTTAATACAGTTCCTCATGTTGTGACCCCCAACCATAAAATTATTTTCGTTGCTACTTCATAACTGTAATTTTGCTAGTTATGAATCGTAATGTAAATATCTGATATGCAGGATGTATTTTCATTGTTACTAATTGAACATAATTAAAGCATAGTGATTAATCACAAAAATATGTAATTATATATGTGTTTTCCGATGGTCTTAGGCGATCCCTGTGAAAGGGTCGTTCGACCCCCAGGGTTGAGAACCGCTGCTCTATATTAAAGGTCATTGAGCTACCTTTAAAAACTTAGCAGTTTTGGCATTGAGCACAGTCAACTTCAGAATAGGGCTGCCCCCCCTTCCCCCATCATGAATCTGTTTTTTGCCTTTAGAAAATGTCAATGTTCAATACGTCTTCTATTCGGGACATCTTTTAAGGACCAACTCATTTATGTAACCTTCCCTAATCAAGGAATTCCATTTCAGCTCCTGTAGCCCTTAACCCGTACCTCATTTGGCACTTAAAATACTTTAATTGCCTTATAGTGTTTGACTTTGTAGTTAAATTTTCTAATAAGGTATACTCAAAAACCATTTCCTTATGCTCCCTTTTATCTTAAATTTACTGCCTAATTATACTGTCCTTAATATTCATGTGCTGGGGTGTCAATGTCCTCTTAAGAATGCACCTAGAGAACAAGTTATTCTTTTACTATGATAGAAGACTCATTTCTGTAACATTTTAAAATGTGGCTTTTCAGAGATTTAAGAAAAGGCAACAGCCAGAACCGGTTTAGCTCAGTGGATAAAGCTTCGGCCTGCAGACTCAAGGGTCCTGGGTTCGATTCCGGTCAAGGGCATGTACCTTGGTTGCGGGCACATCCCCAGTGGGGGGCGTGCAGGAGGCAGCTGATCCATGTTTCTCTCTCATGGATGTTTCTGGCTCTCTATCCCTCTCCCTTCCTCTCTGTAAGAAATCAATAAAATATATTTAAAAAAAAAAGAAAGAAAAAAAAAAGAAAAGGCAACAATTGCCCTGGCTGAGTAGCTTAGTTGGTTAGAACATCATCCCAATGCATCAAGGTTTTGAGTTTGACCTCCATTCAGGGCACATACGAGAATCAACCAATGAATGCACAGATAAGTGGAACAACAAATCAATGTTTTGCTCTCTCTCCAAAAAAACCCCCAAAAACAAAACCACAAAACAAAAAAACAACTGCATTTAATAACAGACTGTTAATAAGTTTTCCCCAATTAGCTTCAGAGGAATTCTATTTACATATACTTTTTAGCCTATTTAAAAACTATAACAAGAACCCCAGAACATCCTTCATTAGCAATAGCTATGGGTAGGCATGTTTATCATCTGAAGGTGTAATAGAATTTACCCAATAGGTATCTGGTTGTGTCTGATGCCCAAGGATTTCCCAATAAAATCTGTTTCAAGAAAAGTCAGAAAACTATTCAACTTATTTTTTTAAAAAATATTTTTCCCTTTATTGAATAAGATATTACAAATGTGTCATCCCCCCAGTCCTACCCTCACCCTCACCGCCCGTTGTCCACATCCATCATTTATGCTTATATGCACGCATACAAGTCCTTTGGTTGATCTTTCCCCCTCACCCCCACCCTCCCCTGCTTTCCCTCTGAGTTTTGAGCATCTGATCGATGCTTCTCTGTCTCTATATCTGTTTTTGTTCATCAGTCTACTCAACTTATTCTAATTCCTCCTCCTACATTCACTGGAACTTAGCTGCAGTATCTCAAATTGATGTAAAACAGCCACAAATCAAGGTTTTACTATAGGAAACTTTACAGCTTATTCCAAAATTTCGTTGATTTGGCACCCTAGAACAGTTTGCTTATTTTGTAATATATATGGTGATATCTTTACCAGTGGTTCTCAACCTTCTGGCCCTTTAAATACAGTTACTCATGTTGTGATCCAACCATAAAATTATTTTTGTTATTTCATAACTGTAATGTTGCTACTGTTATAAATCGTAAATATCTGATATGCAGGATGGTCTTAGGCAAACCCTGTAAAAGGGTCGTTCGACCGCCAAAGGGGTCACGACCCACAGGTTGAGAACCGCTGCTTTAGACAGACCCATAAAAAACCTAGTTTCAAAACTGTCAAGTATGACTGAAGTACTTTAGAAACCATAAATTGTATCTATGTGATCCCACTCTACTAAGGCTGTCAGTGATCTCATGATGGCCTTATAGTTTGATTTTATTGGCTCACACATACTATTTGACAGTTGAAACACTACTCTTAAATTACTCTCTATTTTTATTTCCATGGTTCCCAACTCTTACCCCTAAATTGATGACTCACAACCACTCTTCACCTCAGTGATTTCCCCAAATTTGTCATTGCCTCAGTTGTTTTCCCATTTATTCTACCTGCATTCTTCTCTGCCATTTGACCATCAATAAATTTGTTGGATGGAATTAATTGGAATGACACTTACTAAGTAGGGTGACAAAGGAAATCATGAAGTGGTTAATATGGGAGTATTTTGTTATAATATGTAGTATCCCCACTGTTATTCAGTATGGTCAACAAACACTGACAGTTGGGGAAATAAAGATACTGGGATCCCACTGATACTGTATGATCTTTACATTGGGAGAAAAGGATTTCATTTGTTAAGACAACGTTTCACAAATAAAAATTTCATTTTTCCCAAACTAAGGTATTGTGAAAACTGCTGTCTATAATGTAGCACAAATATGTATACAAATGTTAATACTTCAGGACTATTAATACTTAGTTCTTGGTTTTTGGAAAACAAGCCACACTTATTCTTGACCCACTTTTGTAAAGGATGAAGATGTTGATGTCAAGCCTGCAAAAAAAAGTGAGGCTCCGTTTACTCATAAAGTGAATATGAAAGCTAGATTTGAACAAATGGCTAAGGCAAGAGAAGAAGAAGAACAAAGAAGAATTGAAGAACAAAAGTTACTACGCATGCAGTTTGAACAAAAGGAAATTGATGCAGCACTACAGAAGGTACCAGACAAACATAGCCTTTATTTTCCAAAGATGCTCTTAAAAGCCAGTTTTATATGAGGGGTAAAAAACCATTTTAATAAGTCACTGGAATGTTTTGTAAACATTTGTTATTTTTACTGTAACTTTTGTTTAGATGTTTACATATTTAAATACTATTACAACTGCCTATGGTATTCAGTACAGTAACAAGTTTGTAGCTTAAAAGCAATAGGCTATACCATCTAGGTTTGTGTAAATGCACTCTATGATATTCGCACAATGACCAAATCACGTAATGATGCAGTTCTCAAAATGTACTGTTGTTAAGTGGTGCATGACTGTACTTACATGCTCTTTACTTTGAGGGCAAAAAAACCTAACTCCAAGATTGTGATTAAACCACTGTCCTGAAAATGCTGCTATACTAAAAGTGACAACTTGAATGTATTTATTTTAATATAGAAAAGAGAAGAGGAGGAAGAAGAGGAGGGTAGCATCATGAATGGCTCCACTATTGAAGATGAAGAGCAAACCAGGTCAGGAGCTCCGTGGTTCAAGAAGCCTCTGAAAAACACATCGGTTGTAGATAGTGAGCCTGTTAGATTTACAGTTAAAGTAACAGGAGAACCCAAACCAGAAATTACATGGTGGTTTGAAGGAGAATTATTGCAGGATGGAGAAGACTATCAATATATCGAAAGAGGAGAAACTTACTGCCTTTATTTGCCAGAAACTTTCCCAGAAGATGAAGGAGAGTATATGTGTAAAGCTGTCAACAATAAAGGCTCTGCAGCTAGTACCTGTATTCTTACAATTGAAAGTAAGAATTAATCACTTTTTAAAAAATATAATACTTTTATTCTATTTAAAAAATTTTCCCTTTAAAAAGAATCACTTTTCTTCTTCTTTTTTAGCTGATGACTACTAGCTCCCCTTCCCTCTGCCTGGAACTCTCTTCCTCTCTCCGACTTTCTTACTACATCCATCTTTTCTGTGGCGGGGCCAAAAAAGGAAACCAGAAGTGCCACTATGTTGACTTCTAATTCCTTTTCATATCAGTCTTCAAAACACAAGCTCATCTAAAGAAAACCTTCCTCCTTTCCAAATGAGCACCAGATTCATCACCAATTATGCATAAGTTAATGTGCATTTAATGGGGAAAGTGGGAAATTTACTCAATTATATCAGAACTTAGGCTGTGCATTTACCGTAAGTTCACAGCAATGTTTAAAAGTATCAAAAACACCACATTATTTTGCATGAAAGAATGCCGTCAATGAGCTATTTACACCTAAAATTAGTCTGAAATAGCCGAGACAATGAATTTGGAACCTATCAATTTGAGTGGGAGTTTTCCCTTAGTACATAATTTTGGTTGTAGTTTCAGAGCCTTTGTGAAGCAGATATAGGAGGGGGTTGGGATATCACTCTTTTTATGGGAAAGGAGGAGAATGGAGAAAAACACAAAATTAAAGACTTCTAAGAAACAAATGCCAGAGAAAACTGGATGAAAACCACTGCCTATACAGAGTTCTGAGTGTTGAGAATATTGAATGTACTTTTCCAATGTGTGTAATATATGCTCAAGCTTATAAAACAAATTTATGTTGTGACCTTGCCTGAACAAATGACATTTCAATGAGAAACTCTGTTATTAGTAGTCATACAGGAGAAAACACTTTCAATATAATTGAAGATTTCAAGATCCAAGAGGATTTGGGGCGGGGGTGGGGAGAATGGCACAATCTTCAATTTTAAATTCTGGTCTTTAAAATGAGTTTGTAAATAATCAGCTACCATGTTCTATCATCAAGTTGTTTTATATTTTAATTTTCTGGAAGACAATTTTGTTTTACAATGTAAACCCATAATAAAGTAACTTCTATATTTAAAAAAAAGTCTCAGTATTTTAGAAAAGACAAAACACTCCCTTATAATATTCATCAATGTACATTTATTTTTTTATTGAGGAAACCATAATACAAAATTACAGCAATCATGTGTCCTTTTACATACAATGTCATTAAAGCAAACTCTAAACCACAGTTTGTAAAGTATTCAATTTACCTCCAGTCCAAGCTGCATCTCCCTAAGACACTGTTCCCATCACAGTAGCCATTTTAAGCCAATCTTCTTTTTACACACGGGTAGTTTCTGTAGAGAACACTTTTCTCAGGACGAAAATGCATCGAGCATGCATAAGAAAAAATATATATATGTGCAAGTACATTTAAGAGTTTCTATAGGGGTATAAATGAAGAAAATAAAACCCTGGGATTTATTTGCTTCTTAGAAACACCAATGTAAAAAATCCCTCAGAAGTTTATACTGTGGCAATAAAACTCAAGTGACTAAGCAAAAAATAAGGTTATTTTCAGACTCAAAATTAGCTTTTAGGTATTGTTAAAATACATTTTAAAACGAGGCAGAATTTTCAAGAACTAAAAATAAGACATCCTCATTGATTACTAATTTCTATACCCCTACTCTAGACAACAGACAACTGTGCAGATAGAACTGATTCTCTTGGCAGAGTATTTACACAAATGAAATGTTATCCCTTCTGCGTATATTCCTCTTTCTCTCTTAAGGTACTCTGCTACTCCTACCCAAACCCACCCTTCTGAATTAACTACCAAAGTATTTGTCTAAGGATATATTTTACAATGTCTATAAACAACTAGTATTAAATGACTAGTTCTAACCATTTGTTAAAAATAAAAGCATACTTCTCATTTCTAAAAGAAACATCAAAACATAAGAATTCTAAGTATCACACTAACATATCTTCAAAAAAAACATTTTCAAAATTTAAGTGCAAAATAAAATAAGTCAGTTCAAAAGTCAGTTCAATTTCAATCTAAACTAAACATTGTTTCTACCACTCCTAACACCCATTGCATTCAAACCAACTGGCTCACCTTTTCTGCTTTGCATTAACTTCAAGGTTAAGATTAGCGCCATTAAAAAAATGCTTGCAGTATTAGTGAAGGCTTATGGTAATGACAAAAATTTCTCATAAGACAGAAACAATGCCCCAATATCTATTAGCATTCATCTGTATTTTCTTTTGTAAAAATGCAAGCTACAGCTAACCCAAACTTGACAATCTCTGAAAGTTCAAAGAGCTCCTTTATATTATCTTAACATACCTATCATTGACTATCAAACACACACACACACACACACACACACACACACGCGCACGCGCGTGCATACACACACACAAATGTGGTGCAATAACTACATAACTTATGAAACTTAACAGTTCACGGAACATTTAAGAGCAAGTGAATAGCACTTTAAAATGAAGTGATCAAAAGCAGGTACATTATACCCTATACCATATTATGTATGGGAATACATTTCATATTTCTCAATTATGATTCGCCAATTTTACCTTCTACATTGAGCCCTTCTATGGTCCATGCTCATCGGCTCACCAATGGCATACACTCAAAGGATTCCTCTTTATGGGTAACTATCTCAGGACCTGATTTTATGAGCTATGATTTGGTGCTTGCAGCATCTTCAGCACTGTGTGTGAAAATGAAGGCAGTATTTTTGAATATTTTTCTTTGTTGTAGAGATAAGCAGGAGTTTTAAAAGGATCAGCACATTTTAGAAATAGAATAAACAAAACTGATATGATGCTGCTTTAAAACATTCATCTTAACTCAAAATATGTACCAGTCAAAATCATCAATAAGAACACACAAACATTTTAAACTGGCAAAAAAATAAAAATAAAAAAATAAAAAAAAATGAAATAAATTCAGCGTCAGTTATTAAAATATTATAAATCAGAAAAATACTGGTTGCTATACAGATTATGCAAGGTTATTTGCTAAACAGTTACCATTTCACTGATGCACATGCCTTTTATCAAAACATACTGCCAGTTTTCTTTAAAATTTTTTTCCTTTTTCAGTGTATATAAAAGTTATAAAACCCAAACTGTCTAAAAAGGAGACATAATAAAACTCTAACGCATAATGGCCTCACTGAATTGCTCTAGTTCAAGAATAAGAAAAAAACAAAGACTCCATAGCTTTGGAGGGCAAAGAAATGTCCTATCAATCTTAAATAGATTGTGAAGGCTGTTGAACTTTCTGACCAAGTGACTTCCTAAATCTTAAAATCCATGTAATTGCCTTTTCTTAAATGTAACAATTTTTCTATGGGAAAAGATTACAAAGGGTGATGTAGTTCAATTACAGCAGCAATCTACTCATCATTCTTGTTTAATTAAAATAAAAACATTACCTAGAAATGTAAACAGCTGTTTGAACAACTTACAGACTTTCCACTGAAATAGTAGCATAAATAACAAGATACATTTTGGGGAAGCAGTAGCAGATTGCTTTTGAATACACAACCACAAAAACCTCACAGGGACAACATTAATGTATTGAAATATTTATTTATATATGTCCTTAGGTTGTGCTTACCTGTTGCTTTTTGCAGCAGAACCTAAGGTGGAAGGTCTGGGAAGGCACTGTGAAGCATAAATAATTGCACTGTTTGCAATTAATAAAGATTTTAAAGTTTAAATGAATCAAAATCAACAGCCTCCAATTTGTGAGTTATGATATTGAATCTAACTGAACTATCTCTTCAGTTTAATTAATAAATGTACCACTTTCCTAAAGGTCATCTATAAAACAGTATCATGCAAAATACTGAAATTGTTCATGTCAATACCCTACTCTTAAAGATAACAGATAACTAACTCCCTAAGGATTAAACTTCAAACTAGAGCTACATATCCATATCTACATAAGGGTAGTGGAAGTCACTCTAACTTCTATAAAACAATCAAAAACATTTCAAAATATCCACAATGAACTGTACTGCTAGTTTTCTACCCTAGGTAATCTCAACATTTATGTTCTTGTACATCTTTCTTTACAGTATATTCAAAACAACAAATGGTGCTCCCTACCAATGAAAGAACATATTTAAGAAATGGTGTTAAAACTGCTACATTGCTTAATATATTTGCAAACTGAAAACCACTTCTGTCTGATACATTTCAAGTCTTTCATTATTAGTATACAAAATATGCATATATTATACTGAAAAACAATATGTTTTAGGAGCACCAATGAGTAATACTATTCAATTTTGTTAATGATCAGTTTTCTTTAGCTATAGCTAAAGCATATAAAAAATACTTACCCATTGAGCTCACTTAAAAAAAAAGACCTATGTATTATTCTATGTTAAATTAAGAAGCATTTATGGTTTTCCAAGATATCAGCACTGTATTCCAACATAATATTCACACAAAGTATGGCATTTACATTATGTGGAACATTGACAAAAAGATACTGTTGCAGTTCATCAATTTGTCATTCTGATGTACTTACAGTGCAATGCTCCTTGAAGGAACACAATCAAGGATGATACACAGCACAGTCCTCCTCACCCCTACAGAGCTAGTTCTATACTGGCTGGATCAAACCTGCACTTCAACAGACAATGGCAAGACAGACTGTATTTGCATGTAGTCTAATATATTAATATGCAAAGAGCCAACAAATATGCAGAGTAAACCAATGGATTTCAACAAAATATCAAAACTTCAGCATGAGTGTCATAGAGTAATAAAATGATTTCAAGTACATAAAAAAATTAAGTTGATTCAATGACTGGACTTGTGCATGTACAAAACAAAGCTTATCTATACTGCAAAAAGAAAAAAAAAAGAGCTTGAACATTTCCATATCCCAATAATGTTTCAATGGCAGATGCACTGTAACTATTATACTTTTTTGCAAACTATTCACTTTTCTACCCTTAATTTAGAAAGAAACACACTAATATCGTATACATTGAAAGAGTTGCTTCACATGAAAAAAACTGTTCTTATTAGACTACTCATATTCACTATCTGAAAACTTTTAAAGTTAGTTATGCTGAAACAGTCTTGGAAATCAAGTAATTATCAAATTAAGAACAGAAAGGTTAACTGTTATAGCAGCAGTACAGGTCTGAAACAGTGGTCATGTATAAAAGGAAATTTCACTGTTAATTCAATGGAAGTATGCCAAAAGATCATTGTACACACATGCAGTTTTTAATCAAACAGAAGGAAAAAAAAAAAATAAATAAAGAAGATATCAGGATTACTTGTGCTGAAACAGCCAAATACAATAAATGGAAAAGATCCTCCAATCTATTACTATACTGCAAGGGGAAAAAAAAACATGCCAGTGTTTAAAAATTCAATTCATATTTCATGGGGAAAGCTTATATATTTGTGTATATGTATCTTAATTTATCATTGCTAAGAAATTATGAATTCTTTAAATACCCACATATCCAACTTACCGACACAGGAGGTTTCATATCATTTATTGTAAAGCACAAAACAGGCATTTTAAAAGTGAAAGTATACATTGAAAAAGTACATTTATATCACAAAGCATTGACCACATAATAGTTGCAAATACATTTGCTGGAATGTGTACATCTACACTAAATACTAAAAACAAACCAATTTTCATTTCTACACAGAAATATTAACCTCCTATCAGTAGTGATAGATATTTTGTACATTTTCAAAAGAAAAAAAAACTACTATTTAAACCAAAAACAAAATTAAGATCTTCATCAAGTCGTCTGCATCCATATATTTAACAAAGGTATTTTTCCCCCACACAATGAAGCAAATACTGTATTGTCCACTTCTTATTATTGGCCCTGTGCAGAAGAGATACATAAGAAATACACAAAAAGTTAAAGAAAATCCTTTAAATGGAGCTAACTCAGGAGTGAATCCTTTAAGAAAGAAAAACTGGTTAATATAAATGGTGGTGGCTTCTTGCATGATTTGCAAATCCCTGGGGGAAAAAAATTTATTTTTAAAATTAAAGGCATTATAGAAATGTTCAGCACTCAGATGCCATAAAGCATTATAAAAAACAAAGCCAAAAGCAACCCAACAGTACATCATAGTCCTTCATTTATTTATATTTTGCCATAGAAAAATTAAAAAGGCAAACATAATCCCAAACAAACAAAATAGTAAACATGCAGAAAACATGACTGGAGTTTTTAACACATCAACAAATTTATTATACCTGAGGTGCTGGAGGATGCTGTGGCATTCCCTGGGGACTTGTCTGGGCATAGTAGGCTGCTTGTTGTCTATAGTATTCAGCCCAGGCTGCACTGTAATCTGGCTGACCACCCGGTGGAGCACCAGTAGGAGCAGGAACAGTTTGACCTTTGAGAAAACAGAACTTTGTTACTGTAACCACAATTGAAAGTCCGAAAGAATCCCATTTCTAATGAAGACAATACCATGCTTCTTATAATATTCCTCCCAAGCCTTCGAATAAACCTGTGTCTGCCCTTGTTGATCTAATCCCCATTTTTAATACAAAACTATATCCACTGTAAGTATAGCTTATAAAGACAAAAGCAGAGGATCTGAATTGCTCGTTTAAGTGTTCACCAGTGCCAGAAAACTACTCTGTAATAATAAAAAAATTAGAATGCTCTTTATTTGCTTTTTGCATTATGTCATCACTATTAATAAAAATAAAAACAAACCCATCCATATAATTTAATTAAGGTAAAGATATAAGCATGATGTTGATTCAATTAAAGAATTTATAAACTACTAATGTTCCACATTTTGTTTTAAAAAGTGCCTTATGGCCAACTATACTTTAATTTTTTTTTTTTAAATGCTTCATGTAAATAGTCTATGGTTCCCTGGCAGTGACTGGTGGGCGGGGCCACTATTTTTTGATCTCTCATTCATGTGTATCTGTTACAGTACATATTTTAAATAAAATGCAAAGACTATTAAAAAATTTTAAGACCTGCCCAAAGATTTGTTTCCTGATTAGTAACCCATAAACTACATATATGTATAAATATATATGTGTACATGTATATAAAGACTAATCTATACCTTCTTAATGACATGTTTAAAGTTTTAATACATGTGTTCAAATTACAACACAATTTTATTATAAATAACCTGATGGACATAAAGAACAATTACCAACGAGGTTCTAAGCAACAAGATCAATGAAACACAAAACTCAAGAGCCTTCATGAGCAGTTATTTTACTAGGCAAGGCGACTTTTTTGAATTTAAGAGATTAAAGAGACACAACAACCAAATATAATGCATGAACCTTAAACAGGCTCTAGATTAAGACAAAAACCCTCCACACTTAAAAATATGGTCTTTGTGTTGCTACTACTGAAATAAACTGTTCTTTAAAAAAATTTTTTTATATCAATTTCAGGGAACTGAACCAGTGATACCTGGTTCATGGGTCAACGCTTAACCATTGAGAAACTCCCGCAGGGCTGCTGCTATTGAAATAATTTATTTAGAGTACCAGCCTGCAACTTACTCTGAAAATGTGTCAGGCACATAAAACATGTATATAGTTGTCAAATTTAAAAAAAAAAAAGGTGATTCTGGGTAGAAAAATATAAATACGGGTATTTGCTGTACTATTTTTCCAATTTTTCTAACGGTATAAACATTTTTTAAAAATAAAAGGTTGGGGAGTAAGAAAACATGTGTTTTCCTATTTAGTTCCTTTATTGAAACAGCATTTATTTAATATGTAATTCAATTGGCTTTATAAAATTACAGCTAAACAAAAAATACTGGAGCACATACATACAGAAAGCTGTTTTTATGTTTGCTAGATGTGATTCATTTTGGCCAGCCGAAAATAGGGAGACTCTTCCTATCTGCTCTACTTATGATTTGGCTGTCCACTAGCCTCTTGCACTTCTCTGCCCTTTTTAGGATATGTCCTCAACTTGCTCCCATTATTCTTTCCCTCAGTTCAAAAACAGTGTTGATGCCAGATAGTTTAGTTTATACTTTAATAGACCACCACTTAATATCCACATACAGCTTCACAACGTATAGAGTTTGACTTTAATTTCATCTCATTCAAGAAGTAAGACTTGCTCTACAGTTCACATGTAACACTTTATTATAGCCCAAGAGCCAGCCTCGCTTGAATAGACCTTTTTCACACTTGGTTATCTCTATATATTAGCATCCTTCTCACAACCACTCTCTCCCCATTTTAGGCTAACGCTTACAAGTCCACCATATCAGTGTTTAACATTATAAGAGCCTTCAAGTCAAACTTTTCTTCCAAAATGCCTTCACTTACCGTCTTTAAAATAGGAATTGCCTGTCTCTACTTTGAAAACCTGTTTGTTCACAGGGTATTTATTACTTGAAGTTTCCTTCATTCGAGCTTCAAAAATACCCAACCCCCCAGATTGCTGTCTTTGCTTGTATGACTTAAAATTGCCTTCTATAACCCTCTAGAATCTTGTCTTTAAAAAGAATTCCTCTCGCCGAAGCCGGTTTGGCTCAGTGGATGGAGCGTCGGCCTGCGGACTGGGGGGTCCCGGGTTTGGTTCCGGTCAGGGGCATGTACCTGGGTTGTGGGCACTTCCCCAGTGGGGGGTGTGCAGAAGGCAGCTGATCAATGTTTCTCTCTCATCGATGTTTCTGACTCTCTCTCTCTCTCTCTCTCTCTCCTCTCTGTAAAAAATCAATAAAATATATTAAAAAAAAAAAAAAAAGGGAATTCCTCTCCTAAATTCTGTTAACCCCAGGAAATAGAATTTTTTCACAAAACAAATTTAAAAACTTAACCTGCATGTTTCAAAAGAGGTTTATTTACCAAGAAGCAAATAATGACAAATTTATAGTGTTAGTGGAGATTTCCTGTTCTTGACAGGAAAAGCTGAAATTAGGCTTCAAAAGCTACAAGAGCCTGCTTCATTTGGTGAAGAGGGCACTGATTGGGAATCAGAACAACCAAATTCCCAGGAAACCCTTGTTCTGCCACTGGAATAGTAAAACTTAGCCTCTCCAAATAAGGGAGTTAGATTTGGAGGTGAAGATCTTTGACTACCTGATACTTTATTACACCTTTCTTTCCTTCCATTTAAAAATCTCAAAGATTGAACTGTATTATTCTAATGCTTTAAGGTCTCTTATTTGTGCTTATTTTAAATAGATCTTAAGGACAAGTAATGTACCTTGTAATTAGATCAGTTAAGCAACCAATCATTTACAAAAAGGACTATGATAGGGGAAAAAAAATTGACCTTGTATCATTAAAAACCACACTTAAAATTATTTCCTTTAAGATAACAGGAAATCACTCAACCACCAGCCCACCTTGGTCATAAAATTAACAGCTGACCATTATGCTACAGAAAAACACACAACTGAAGAGGTGAAGGAAGGGTTAAGGAAAATCTTCAGTCAAATGTGGTGTTACTTAATTATTTTTATTTATAATCTTTCTCCACAAAGGATTCAAGACAGTCCAACATGCTTTTTCTAAAATTAGAATTTAATAGAGTAGTAAGTAGGGAAAAGGTAGAAAATAGAAAATTAAAAGAAAGGCAAAGTGAAGTATCTACCCTTCATAAAAATTTGAATGGTATTAAGACCTTGCAGATTATATTCAACATACCCATTCATTTTGGGCAAGCAAAATGTAAAATGGTTAAATAGCAAATTTACTAATGATCATGTTGCAAAGAAAGAATAAAATATAATAAAACAGAAATCATACTCATTCCCCAGTAATTACTTAAGTCTACTAATAGGCCTTTGTTTTTACCCACTTTTAATAATACAGGGAACAGCCCTGGCTGGATAGCTCAGTTGGTTGGAGCATCATCCCATACACCAAAAGGTTGTGGGTTCGATTCCCAGTCAGGGTACATACCTAGGTTGCTGTTCAATCGCCAGACAGGGCATGTATGGGAAGCAACTGATCAATGTTTCTCCCACATTGACTTTTCTTTCTCTCTCCCTTCCTCCCTCTCTAAAAACCAAAACCAATAAAACATATTCTCTGGTGAAGATTACAAAAAAAAAAAATATATGTATATAAATAAAACATCTTTGGCATATTACCCATTGTGAAATCACAAATTGGACCTAATGATTTTTAACCTTTACATACTTAAATCTTTAAAATGGTGAAGCTTTTTCATAAAAATTAAGGTGACCAGAGGTCCTGACCACTAGGTTGTCACAAAATGATTTCCAGTTATTCTAAATAGCATCCCAGTTTGGACAATAAACTATGCAATAACTGTAACTACAGTATACTGTTTTGAGGTTAAAAGTTTTTTTCAAAACTATCTTTCTACAGAGTTTCAGCTGTTACAGAACTACTTGAAATAAACTCGGTAAAAAAAAGTAAATTAATGAATCTTTTATAGCCTCAAAAATAACATGCTGCATGACTTTCTTTGAAGTCATTCTAACAGGGAAAATTATTTTTCTTTTCTTTTTTAAAAAAATATATCTTTATTATGACTGCCTAGCCAGAGCACATTTTTTTTAAAGCGAGCTCTGAATTTTTCTTTATAAAACCACCTTTAAAAAAAAAAAAAATTTTTTATTTTTTATTATTTCAGAGAGGAAGGGAAAGGAAGAGAGATAGAAACATCAATGAGAGAGAGTCATTGATCGGCTGCCTCCTGCACACCCCACACTGGGATTGAGCCTGCAACCTGGGCAAATGCCCTGACTGGGAGTCGAACCATGAACTCCTGGTTCTTAGTTTGATGCCCAACCACTGAACCACACTGGCTGGGCAGGAAAATGAATTCTCCTTCTTTAAACAAATCAGTTGTGTAAAAAAAAAAAATCCTTATCACCAGGTATATGTACTTTTATACAAGAAAAGATTACTGTAATTTTTTTCCTGTGGAAAATGACAAAGAAAACATCAAAATTTACAGAGAATCACAAGTAGACTATATCTTATGAAAAAATTCTATCACCTATTTCTTTCTATACTAGTGAAAGATGGGCAAGTTTAACTTTCATTTATGACAACTGGCTATGTTGTAAGCTGTTGTTTGTAAATGACCAAGAGCATAAGCACCTGGAAAAACAAACAAAAAACTTGTACAAACGGTCCCTGAAAAAGGCAAATTTTGGAAATAGACTTGGGACTTAGGCCCTCTTAGAGGTCAAATTCTGGTTCCACCACTCAGTTGTAGTTGTGACCTGTTTCTCAATCTGTACATGTAAAGTGCTAGTGAAGATAGTTCTTTTCATTCACAATAGTAAGTATGAATGTATTTGCTGAATACTTGATTAACAACTGTACCTCCCATTAGAGTATGATAACCAGAAGGGCAGGGTTCCTAGCTGTTATTCCCACAATCATACTGTAGGCATCTATCACTATATTTGGCACACAGTCCTCTATAGTTATTGAATGAAAATAGCCTTTTTAGGTGATTGTTTTTTTTCTTTTTCATACATGAAAACGCCATTTAAGTAACTTTCTCTGTCACTGTAGGTTACTTCTTATCTGATTATTTTGCACCAAAAATACAATAGTCTCCCCTCGTCTAGTCAACTGTGGTCAGAAATATTGTATAGAAAATCCCAGAAATAAGCAACTCACATTTTAAATTGCACAATTCTGAGAAGTGTGATGAAATCTGGATCCATCGTACTCCCTCCCTCTCAAGAGGTGAATCATCTCCCTATGTCCAATATATCCACACTGTATATGCTACTCATATGTTAGTCTCTTGGTAGCTGTTATGAGATCAACTGTTCCAGTATTTAAGTGCTTGTGTTCAAGAAACCCTTACTTATTCTATATAATAAAGATCTAATATACTAATTAGACCAGATGGCAGAACAATCTTCCAGAAAGACCAGTGGGCGGGGCCACGTGGCCACAAGGCCGCCAAGCTGCGAGGGTTGAGCCCCTTGCATGAATTTCGTGCATTGGGCCTCTAGTATTACCATAATTGCTTATTTCATAATGATCGTTAATCTCTTACTGTGCCTAATTTATACATTTACTATCTCTGGTTTTAGGCATCCACGGGGGGGGGGGGGGGGCTTGGAGTTTATCGTATCCCCTGAAGAAAAGGGGGGACACTATTATAATACCACACATACATATTTTTCTTTGGCACTCTAGAATTTAACCAATGCCATTTTGGCTACTAACATATATAACAAAAATGTGGGTAATATACAATGTCATATGTGCCAGGAGAAAAATTTTTAGTTTCAATTGGTAAATGATTGACAAATGGGTTTACAAATAAAAATGTTTCCTTATTATGTAACCAAAAATTTAAGAATTATTATTTGCAATGACCTTGAAACATCTGAACGTTTAGTGATTTTGGAATGCATTCTTGCTCAATTATTCTTTTAAGATTTTAAAAGTTAATCAGTGAAAGCCCAAAGAAACAAAAACATGAACAAACATGCTTTTATTGAAATCTTCAACCTTCTAGAGTAATATTTACTAAATGTTTCAATTTAATTAAATATATAAAAAAGGAAATGTAGAACATACCCATTTTCTTGTAGTACTCTTCCCAAGCCTTGGTATAATCAACCTGTCCAGCTGGAGCTGGATTCTGTTGATCACCTTGTTCAAGAAAAAAGAAAAAAAAAAAGATCAAAGTTTTCAAGAGACAATTTGGTCTTTTCCTTCACTTTCTTGAGTGGAAGAGTTGGGGGAAGGAAGGGTGCTGTGTGACAGTGGTATCCCTGTTGGTGTACACTAGGGTACAAAGTTGGTGGACAGAGAAGATAGTCTATGTCACGGGTCCTCAAACTTTTTAAACAGGGAGCCAGTTCGCTGTCCCTCAGACAGTTGGAGGGCCGGACTATAGTTTAAAAAAAAACTAGTCGGCAGCGGCAGCAAAAACACCCGGCGGGATAAATTTTTTCGGCGGGCCTCATGTGGCCTGCGGGCCGTAGTTTGAGGACCCTTGGCTATGTACTTGGAAGAGTAGCTACACTGAGCATGCAAGTAAATTCACTTGTCACATAAGAAAACACACCGAGGACACCAGGTCCCTCACCATTCATAAACATGAAAAGGCTAAAAAGAACCTTAAAGTACAAGAATGTAATTAATTGTAGGTGATATGAATGTACAGTCTAAAATATATATATATTTTACATACATTTAAACACATATACATGCTTATGTACGTATGTATGTATTTATCTAAATTACACAGTTCTGTACATTGAAAGGAGCTAGAAGCAATGACACCTCAGTAGCAATGAACACACTGAGTTTGGTTTCTAAATACCATCATCTACTAAAAGGAATCAGGGATCTTTGGAAAAATGGCTGATTCTAGGGCTGGAGCCCTGAGAGCACAAAATGAGCATCTTATTCTGCAAGAAAGTAAGAAAATGCTTAGAGAATGACAGGCATATCAAAAGGATACAGGAGTGATCTTGAAAGTACTCCTGACTAGTCAAACCTAGGACAATTCCATAATCAAAATAGTTGACAGTCTAAAATACAACCTTCTGAATAAAACAGGAACCCATACTGATATAAAGAAGTAAGCAGGAAGGGGGTGGGGGGGGGGCCTCTTTTTGACAATAAACTACCAACTATTAATGTAAAATTAATAATGGGAATAGAAATTACCATCATAATTGTAGCTAAATGAGGTAGGTGTTAATCAATGAAGGCGAAGGCCAATGAGATACAGATTAGTAGTCTAGTCTCACTGTAACTCTCTAGAAAATAGTAATTTTCAAAGAGAAAAATTGTAATTCTATGGTATAGAAACCTGGCAGACACCAATATAACCAAGTCACCATGTTTTGCCTCAAGCACAACAGTTCTATATGGCAGATAACCAAAGGTTGCCATTTCCAGGGAAGAAACAGGTCAACACACAAGAGCACATCATAATTTCTGAGGTATTCTTGCCATACCACAAACAGGACCTCATGAGCATGACGTCATCTTCATAACAAAAGACTGAGTATCATCCCACAAAGCAAAAGGCCTGTACTCTTTATAACATTAAAAAAAAAACACCAAACTGTTTTTTCCTGATTGATGAGACAGAATAGACCTGACAACTCATAAAAACATGTTACCAGATGGGATCCTGGATCACAAAACAATTGCTGGGACAAATGGTGAAATCTGAATTAAGGACTGTGTACTGGGACAGTAATAATGTATCAATGTTGATCAACTAATGTGGAGGGCTACATGATGGACATGGATTTTTGGATTAATACAAAAAGGAGTATTTTAAATGAGGCATCATTTCTACAGCTTGGCCATAAATGGTTCTGACAAAGACTAATGATAATGGACATGGACACCTGATAGAGAAGGTAATAAAAAGAAGGGGTGGGGGTGGGGGAGTGTTAATAAGGGATGAAACACTAATAACTAGGTTATTGGGTGTTCCTGTTCTCTAATATATCTTACAACTTTTATACAAGTTTGTGACTAAAAAAGTAACCTATTTTTAAAAAGTCTGCTTACCAAAGCTGTAAGAATTAGAAATTTTTGGGTATCACATGCACTTTATATATAATTCCAAACACAGGTTCGTTCTCTCTCTCTCTCTCTCTCTCTCACACACACACACACACACACACACGTATATATAAAAAAAATGTTTTATTACCATAGTTACCTTGTCCATTGGTTTGGGCTGTAGTTGGTGCACCAGTGGGAGCTGCAGGTGGTGGCTGTGCTTGCTGTTGGTAATAGTGAGCATAATACGCAGCCCAAGCTGCGGAATTTGGATCAGTTCCTGCCTTAGCTAGAATAAACACAAGTTCAACGTTTGCACCTGAAATCCATTATTCTCTCTCATATGTACACACACCCCCTGGCAAATATATAGAGCCCATAGACCCCAAAATTAACTAGAATTAAAAATAAGTAGAAACTTTCAAATTCTTCTATTAATTTCACTGTTACCCCTAGCTTTTATAGAAAAAAGAGGTTCAGAGATTAACTGGCATTCCTAGGTCTTAGAAAACGAGTTAGTGACAGGATTCGGATAGGAATAAAAGATCTTTTCTCTAAATCCAATGCTTTGTCTCAAACCATCCTGTTTTCTTTCTAAATCAGTTTTGCCAAGCCCAACAGTTCTTTCTATATGGCAGATAACTAAACGAAAGGATTTCTAGGGACTAAGCTGTACAAGCAAGAAACAATTATTACAGATCTATGAACTTTCTCCTGTCTCGTTTTCAATAAAAACACAACTTAATCTTAGAAAAGGAAACAGAGATTAGCCATATTTCATCTCATCATATTTCACAGTGATTATCCTAAAACATAAACTTGATGTCATAGTCCTACTTGAAATTCTTCATTTATTCCCTAGAGTCTTCAGGACTGTCTAAGACAGCAGTTCTCAACATGTGGGTCGCCAACCTGTGGGTCGCAACCCCTTTGGGGGTCGAACGACCCTTTCACAGGGATCACCTAAGACCATCGGAAAACACATATATAATTACATATTGTTTTTGTGATTAATCACTATGCTTTAATTATGTTTATTTTGTAACAATGAAAATACATCCTGCATATCAGATATTTACATTATGATTCATAACAGTAGCAAAATTAGTTATGCAGTAGCAACGAAAATAATTTTATTGGGGGTCACCACAACATGAGAAACTGTATTAAAGGGTCAAGGCATTAGGAAGGTTGAGAACCACTGGTCTAAGATCTTAGGTACAGCATATCATCCAAAATCTTTAATGATCTGGACCCCCTGACTTATCCTTTCGATTCCAGCCTCATCTTCCCTAAGTCAATATTTTTCTAACACTCATATTCTGACTACAATAAACGGCTTATACTTTCAGAAGTTATCATCTTATATCTGGGCCTTTGAGCATATTATCCTTCCTCTGCACTTGGCTCACCTTCAGTCATTCTTCATAAAAATCAACTGATACATGAACAGTTTGAGACTTCTTAGAAACAGGAATTCTCTATTGATTCTGTCCTTTATACTATCATATGGTATTACAGGTATATCTTTATTAGTTTACAGCCTCAAGAAGAATGTCATTGTCTTAGCTAGAGTTAGCATCTATAATGTAATCTGTTTATAGCCTTCATCCCAAATGGGCAGCAATTTTCAGCTGCTTAATAAAAGTGAATGAAGGTTGAGAAAAAAGGGAATTTTTAGAGGGATATAATTTTAAGGTGATATAATTCCAAGACATTACACCACCCTCCTAATCCTTCTCAAGTAAGAAATTGCTTTTCTACGTTGGATATTTATGTCTCAATAGTGTCATTAACCTGTATACTAATAAATACAAAATATTTTCACTTGATACCATGTCTGGATAGAGAAAGCGAGATAAAAGACTTTAGGATGTGATAATGGTACTCCTGAATGAACTTCATATAAGAAAAACAGTCTTAAAGTGCATTAAAGCAATAGTAAAGAAAATAAAAAAAGATGCCATCCAAGTCAAAAATAGAAAACCAGCCTGTTTACATACATGAGAACTTACTATCATTCATTCAACATAATATTCATTCTTTCATTCATTCATTCATTCATGTATCATCATTTTATGCATAAATATAGATTTAGAGGGGTTAAAAAATGTGCTTGTTATACCATAATTACTAAGTTGTAAGATTAGAATTTATCTACGGCCTGTTTCATTTTGAGGTCTAATCTTTTGACTCTATATAAATGCTTAACAGCCCATTAATTTTTTATTGAAACAGATTTTAGTTCAGAGAATACTGACTTTATTGTCAATACAATTTCATTTAAATCATTTATTTGGTTTTTATATACTTTTAAGTCTAATTTAAGCAATATCTAACTTTAGCTCATCTCTTCTGGCTAACTGGATTCTTTCTTTCCCCAAAGCAATACTAGAAACCACATTCATTAAACAATTGTTACTTCACTACTACTCCAAGTGGGAAAATGAGATTGTGATAGAGACCACTTCTCTATTCCCATCATTTTCTCAATCATGCTACCTACCCAAACAGTGCTCATAGGTGCTACTCTGCATATCTAAGTTACCCAATATAAATCTGCCCCTTAACTTAACCAACATGTTGAATCTCTTAAATGGTGATTCCTCTGCTTATCACACCATCCCAATTAGTTTACAAGAGGAAAGAAAATCCTTTCATTCTTAAAAGACTAACTTTAGACTATATAGTAAATCACATTTGACTTTTCTCTAAGTCCTTCTATCACATTATTGCTATCTCTTGAAATGCACTCTTCTGCTACAGAATATAAACTACTTTTTGCACACCCAGATACTAGCACACTCAAGTTGTTTAGTGGATGTTGTGGCTATTGGGTGACTGCCATGCTCTGTTATCATTTCCAAAGAATACACTTCCTTTGAAATTAAAGTATGTTATGGAACATGGGGGCCACATTTAAATACGAGTGTTTCACCTAATTTTTTAGGTTTTTAAAAATACAAATATTAACTAGTGTGGAAAGGAATCCATTAATTCAGTACCTTCCTTGAAACTACTCCAGTGAAAGAGGCCTAAAGGTAGGTAGTGGGTGAGAAAAAAGAATCATAAACAATTGTTAATTGGTTTCGATAAATGCCCTTTGACCATGGTGGGGATAAAATAACATAGAAGTGAACAGAATGTAATATATATAAAATCCAGATCTGAGCAGAGAAAATATTGGAAAAAAGTGTACTTTAGAGTTTTAACATGTAGATATTAAATACAGGCCTGATTTTTACTAACAGGTAAAGTTACAGTATCTAGAATACTAAAACAGACAACTTACATATCTTACTTGAGAACTTAGGAGTTTAATGCCCAAGTATTAAACACTCCATTTAGACTCGTAACATACTATATACATGTAATGGCACTAGTACCTAAAGCCCAAGACATTGCACTTCTTCCTATAGCTTTTGGATTTTAGCACTCTGCTGTGTAATTTCAAAAGTAGAGAAAACCAAATGCAGGTCGAAAAAGGTTCTATGATAGACCATATTCACACCAATCTTACACACTGTGGTAGAACCAGAACCTAACACTCCTGTTGAAAGAGTGAAATACGTGCAGAAAATGGCACACAATGTAGAAATAACACTAGAAAATATAAAAATAGGAGAGAAAAACAATACAAATTACACAAGAATGATAAGCATCTTTTACCTGGATCAGGAGGGGCCTGTTGCTGCCAGTGTGGATATGCATTTCCCCACCCCTGGGGAGCGTAAGGGGCTGGAGGACCACTGAAAAGATATAAAACAATGTAAGAATATGACTTACCAAAAGCTAGAATCTTTGGGGAAAAGCACAAACAAAACCCAGTACTTACTGAGGAGCAGGGCCAGGTGGTCCTGGATTATAAGGTGCAGGGTTGTATGGTCCCATTGGAGCTCCAGGCCCAGGAGGCCCAGGAGGCCCATGGGGCCCTGGGACACCATGGGGTCCATGGGGTACAGGTGGCCCTAAAGGATTTACTGGGCCCTGCAAAAAAGCAAAATGACTTACAAAAATCAGAAAAACACTAATGGCCGAACAACTCAAAGGTCAATTCCTGGGTCAGGGCACTCAATCCCTAGTAGAGGGAGTGCAGGAGGCAGCCAATCAATGTGACTCTCCCTCTCCCTTCCTGTCTCTAAACTCAATAAAAACATAAAAAAAAAAAAAAAAATACTTAGTTGATGTCTTTTTTTATTAATCCATCTTGTAAAGACCTCTAGATTTAACTGCCCTAAAACACCCTTTCATTTCAGTTAATACTTACCATGAGACATTTTGGACAAAATTGTTTTTAAACTACATTTGGTTGTCATTTTTCTCACTACAAAATAATGAAGCTAACCTTCGTGATTTAAAAAAAAATATTTTAAAATGATTTTGAGAGAGAGGAAGGGAGAGGGAAGAAATACCGATGTGAGAGTGGGACACTGATCAGCTGCCTCCTGCTGCTCCTTACTGGGGATCAAGCCCACAACCTAGGCATGGACCCTGACTGGGAATCGAACCAACCTTTCAATGCACAAGCCGACGCCCAACCAAAGGAGCCACACTGGCCAGGGCTAACCTTCATGATTTTTGAAGTTCCTTTTATTAGGATGTCTCTTTATGTCTCTAATTGCTGTCATCAACCCCCACTTCTAATATTCTATTATCTGTAACCCACCCTTTCGAAATAGTAAAAAAAAAAAAAAAAAAAAAATAATACTGAAAAAGTATCAACATTTAAAGAAATGTGTTTTTATTCAGAGGGAGAGAAACATCGATTGGCAGCTTCCTGCAGCCCCCTACTGGGGATGGAGCCCACAACCTGGGCATGTGCCCTGACTGGGAATGAAACCAGTGACCTTTTGGTGCATGGGATGACACCCAACCAACTGAGCCACACTGGCCAGGATTAAGTAGGAATATTTTCAGAGCAATGTGCCAGGCACTCTTTTAAATAATACACACGCACCACACACTCATACCTAAATCATTTTTAATCCCTAAACCCTATAAAGCAGGTAACAGACTAAGGCAAAATGACTATTAGGTTCCCCAAGATCACAGTCAGTAAATAATTCAGAGTGTTTATTTTGTTAAATTCTCAACTGAGAATATATTTTCCCACTGATTTTTAGAGAGAGTGGAAGAGACACAATTGATGTTACCCCAAGACCCTTCAGTGTGTAGACCAATGCTCTAACTGCTGAACAACACCAGCAAGAGCCAGAGTATTTTGAACTCAGTTTGTTTAGCTTCTCTAGGACATTCTATTCTGTTTGTACACCAATCCAGAAGGAATCCTGATCCATGCATAGTAAAATTCAAAACCAAGATGTGCTATTCATTTTTCTGCATTAATCTTTGCCATACTGATTCCACAATTATTTTCTTCATGTCTCTGTGCAATTACACTTATTGCCCATACAATGTTTGTGCATATATATATTTTTAAATATATTTTATTGATTTTTTACAGAGAGGAAGGGAGAGGGATAGAGAGTTAGAAACATCGATGAGAGAGAAACATTGATCAGCTGCCTCCTGCACAACCCCCTCCTGGGAATGTGCCCGCAACCAAGGTACATGCCCTTGACTGGAATCGAACCTGGGACCTTTCATTCAGGAGCCGACACTCTATCCACTGAGCCAAACCAGCCAGGGCTGTTTGTGTATATTTTTATAACATATTGTTTAAGTATTTCTTGTACATTTATTTTTTGACTTCCCAGACAGAAACAGTGTCAAACTTCTTTTGCACCCCATCCACGCATGGCAATCACCAAGGAGAAATTTTTCCAAGAAATTCTAATTATTATTAATAGTTTTAAGATGCTTGCTCACACCCTATATTAATTATTTATAGTAAAAGCAAACAGTAAAGCACTATTTACCTCATTTACAAGAAAGAACAATCAAAACTTTTCATACAGTATTGTACTACCACCAGCAAACTGTTCTAGCAGAAACACTTGCAAGTTTGGCCATGCATCAGAATCACCTGGACCATCTTTCTAAAAGTACATGTTGGGCTCTATTCCGAACATTTTGAATGAGAACTGCGTTATGTGTAGCTGTGGAAAGCACCCAAGTAGTCTACATTTGAAACTCCCCAGATTACTGCCTAAGAATTAGGATTTATAAATTTCTACTTTAAAGTGGGATGTATCTGATTCATCTTTGTGTCACCAGGGTTACATATAGTAAAAGCCCTTAATAAAAACTGAATTCCTGTTAACTATATCCTTTAAATATGTTTCACAATTCTCCACCAACCTGAACATATTTGCAAGAAATGCTATCCTCTTATCTACCCACACCCAAATATAAGGTTCTGAACACCTTTTACTGTATTTTATTAGGTTACTTTCATTCCTGGAAAAGCTTTTCTGTTTATGTTATCTATTATGTGATGAGCCCTATAATTTTAGACTAGAACCTATGCTATAAATTGAAGTTTAAAGCATACTCACACCAATCTTTTCTTCTATGAGTTGCCGAGCATAGTCTATTTGCTGTGGAGTCCCACGAATTGTAAATAACTTCATATTAGGATCTGCATTAGGTGGGGGATTTCTCTGAAGTTCTATTCTTGCACCAGACTGTTGACTTATGCTTTTTATGGTTTCACCTCCTAAAATCAAAACACAATAATTACTCTAAGAATTCAAAGGATACAAGAAAAGGTATTTAAAATAAAATGGAAGTAACAAACGAACTAACAAATACAAGCTCATAGATACAAACAGAATGATGATTACCAGTGGGGAAGGGGGAAGGGCAAATTAGGTAAAGGGGGTCAAATAAATGGCAATGGAAAGAAACTAGACTTTGGGTGTAAAGTATAAAATAGGGTATACAGATATAGATGTACAAAAGAAATTTATATAATGTCATTAATCAATATTACTTCAATAAACTTAAAGTCACAATTAAATGGGTCATTAAGCTTTGACTAGTAGTCCATCTGCCAAAATTCTATTAAGATTTTCCATTTATTCCTATACTTTAAATCCAACTGTATAAAGCATTTCATGCTTCTCTTAAAATACATTTGAGTTTTAAGACATAATGTAGTACATCTGTACCTAATCTTAAAATAGATAACTTATCAAAATCAAAATATTTGGTTCAATTAAACTGCTTTTACAAGCAATATAAAGTAACATTAAAAAAATTAAAAAATTTAAACACATGTGTATCAGGAAATAGCAAAGTAAACAAAAACACCCAGACCACTTTGGGGTCAAAAGTAGTTTCTTACACTAATAATTAAGCTGTTGGTCTCTTCTAGAAGTCCATGTGAATCAAAGCCTACTCTTTTTATTTAAGTATATATAAGGCCCTTCTCATTTATGTTTTAGTTATTACACATCAACATAACACTTTTCTACTAAAATACAGCTCAGGAAAAATCACCACCACTTGTTTAGAACAACAGATATATCATCAGAAAAAATAAGTAATAGGTTAAAAATTTAACCCTACATTAAAATAGTAAGAGTTTAAAATACTTTGCCTTTTCCTATTATTAATCCAGTTTTCCCAGTTGGTACAATGAAATTAAATTCTTGAAGTCCACCAGGTGGTCCCATGTTCCAGTTGCCCTGACCTCTACCTCTCCCTCGACCACCAGGTCCAGGTCCACCAGGATTACCAGCCTAAAGAGAAAGACAAGAAACGAAGTCAGCTAAAAATACACTCTTCTTCCCATAATCAATTACATGTCTATTTTCCTCAATTCTCATTTCCCTAAATTAGAAATTTAGAAAAGCTGGGAAATAACTTGGTCCAAGTAATCAGCCAGTAATAACCACCATTTATTCATTTTATACTGGAATGAGTAAGGTAGCTGCCTTCCTGCTCCAAGATGTCTGCCTTAAAGCAACTTCAAACTTTTTAGTTATTAAACAGATTCTGATATAAAATAAAGGGGGGGGGACGGGACTGTCAGATTTGATGACGGAAAATTTTAAAGTTTTCAACCAAGCTTAAGTTTTTATTGATTTGAGAGAGGAAGAGAAACAACCACTGATGCGAGAAACATCGATCAGTTGCTTCCTGTATGGGCCCCAACCAGGGATCAAACCTGCAACTTAGGTGTGTGCCCTGACCAGAAATTGAACCTGCAACCCTTTTGGTGTACAGTATGACCCTCTAACCAACTGAGACACCTGGCTGGAGCCAAAGAAAAATTTTCTGAATGAAAATAAGACAAAGAAAATATTAGTATTCTATCAACCTGAACACTTCTAAGAAGGTCTGTAATAATTTCTGCAGCATGTTGACATCGGTCTGGAGGTCCTGTTATTTGTGCTATCCTGTCAGGTGTTGTTCCATCATCTTCAAAACAAAACAAAACAAAATAGAATGAATTAATTTATCATTAAATGTGTCAGTGTCAAAAGTAATTGCTACCAACACTCAGAAAATTAAATGTACGTACTCACCTGGCTTAAACTGAATTCGAACACCAGCATCATTTTGTATTTTTTTAATCATCTCTCCATTTCTTCCTATTACAATGCCAACAGCGAATCTTGGAATGGGGACCTTATGCAGAGGAGACGAAGTATTAAAAAAACCATTTACTGAAAATCAAGCTGCCTCAAATCATAAAAGTATATATAACACTCTCTATATCAAGTAGGGTGATAAGAGACAAAAAATACTACTATATTCTAAGGTGGAAACTGGGAGAAAAAAAGAGGATAGAATGTTAGAGAAGGCTATGTAATACAAAACAGGAAAAACACTATTTTACTTATAGATTAGCATAAAACTATTTCTGAATATTTTTACTTACATCTATCCCTTCATTTCCTCCAATTCTTGACCCATACTCATTTCGAACTTCTCTGAAACCACCTTGATCACGAATTAACTCTAACACCATTTCCTTGGCTTGCTGAAGTAGAAAAAAATTACCCAATTTAGAAAGCATGTCTTAAAACATTGTAATTTATTCATACATGTTTTGCTCATTCTGCACCCACCCCAACCCCTTCTTTGTAAAATATAAACTTGTTTACTTGAACTTTGTATGGATCTCCGGTAATCCTAAGAGGTTTGTCAGCACCAGTGTTCTGAGGTCCATCTTGAATCATAACCATTTTAACTCCAGCCCGTTCCTGTTCATCATAAAAAAAACCGTATGTATTAATAAAAGGGAATGGAAGGAAATTGGCTTCAAAACAGATGAATAGTAATCATTTTACAAATAATAATACCTGAAGTTGTTTAATAGTCTCTCCCCCCTTTCCAATAACTAATCCAGCTTTGCTAGCTGGAATCATTATTTCTTGAACTGCATTTCCTGGTCCATCACCATGATGGAAGCCAGGGGCTGGTCTTCCTTTTTCAACTATCTGGTCCAGTAATCGTTTTGCTGACCTGTTAATAAATTAACAGTCAAATAAGTTGTAATATACCCCAAAGCTTATCCAAGAGAAATATAAAATATAACCAGTTACTTCTTCCAATTACAGTTTAGATGGCTTAAAGCTAAATTTTAATAATTTCAATTAAAAGAAAATGCCATTAGGGCCAAAGATTAGAACAATTCAATCAAATTTCTAGGTATACAATTTTCAAATATTTTTGAGATTCCAAAATTTCTAAATAGCACTCAAATTCCAAAGTTAATCACAATATTAAATTGATTCTTATGAGCACTAAATAAAATGTTTTTTTTTTTTTAAAAATATATTTTTGTTGAATTCAAAGAGGAAGGGAGAGAGGTAGAAACTTCAATCACAAGAGAGAATCAATGATCGGCTACCTCGTGCACAGCCTCTATAGGGTAGCAAAGCCTGCAACCCAGGCACGTGCCCTGACCAGGAATAGAACAGTGACCTCTTGGTCCATAGGTTGATGTTCAACCACTGAGTCACACCTGGCCAGGCAATATTTATATTTTTAAACCATCACTTTGGCCACTCAGGTGTTTAAATGTATTCATTCAATAAATACTTAAGAAATGTCAGTTATATACCAGATTTCATTCTAGCTAATGGGTTACAGCACTGAACAAAACAGACAAGAGTTTCTTCTGGCATCGCTCAGTGGTTGAGCATCATCCTATAAACCAGGATGTCACTGTTCGATTCCTGGTCAGGGCACATGCCCGGGTTGTGGGCTTGATCCCCAATAGGTGCTGTGCACGAGGCAGCCGATCAATCACTGATCCGATCTCACCACTGAAGTTTTTCTCTCCCCCTTCCTTCCTCTCTATAATAAATAAAAACGTATTAAAATAATAACATGTTAAATAAATTACATGTCATTTGGGAAGGGCTATGAAGAAAATCAAAGCAAAATAAGGATAGAATGTGTATGTGTGTGAAGGGATGCTATTTTATGGAAAGTAGATATGGGAGACCTTACTGATAGACATTTGAGCCAAGGCCTGAAGGAAGAGGCGGAGGGAATGTGAAAATAGGGAAGAAATAGAAAGTACAAAGGACTCAAATGAGAAGCATGCTTGGTGTGCTGAAAAAATACAGGAGGCTACATGAGGCTAGAACAGAGTGAGTTGGGAGAATGGTAAAAAAATAAAGTGAGAAAAACAGCAGGTAAGCAGGCCATGGTAGACACTGATTTTTACTCTAATTGAGTTAAGCATTATGGGATTTTGAGCAAAGTATTATGAATTGACTCATAATCTTGAAGAATCACTATGGTTATACTGTTATAAGAATAGATCATTGTTGAACAGGGCTAAAATAATGGACACACGTAATATAGGCAAATCACATCACAGATAAGATGGTAGTATATAAGGTGGCAAGAAGAAGCTGGATCTCAAATAAATTATGAATAAAAAATGACCAAGACTTGCTTATGATAAATGAGGAGTAAGAGAGAGATAAAATATTACAACAGAGTTGCCATACATGTACGAGATAAAAGAGTATAAATAAATAAAAGCTGGGAATGGGCTGTAAAACGATTTTGTTTCCTAATAATCTCATGTTTGAGATGTCTAATAGACATTCAAGTGGAGGCACTGAGCAGATGGATATGAGCCTGGAATTTAGAAAAAGAGACCAAGGATGGAGATAAAAATTTAGGACATAAAATCTATGGTACATAAAGCTATATATTAAAAGAAGTTTAATAAAGTAAATTAAGTTATCCAAAGAGTATGTGTAGATATATTGTAAGGGGACTGAATTTTGTGGCCCTTTCATGTTGAGCCCAGGAAGATAAGGCTGACAACTAAGATAAACTGAGAAAGAGAAGAGAAGTAGGTATCTAAGCAAGTGGTCCACTGTGTCAAACGGTGCTGACAGGTTGAATGAGGAAGTGGCCAGTTATGATCTCGAATAGACCAATTTTAACGGGACAGTGAGAATCAATGCTTGACTGGTGTAAGGTCATGACAACATGAAAACAGGCAGATGATATACCAAAGTAGAGCTACCTCTTTATTTAAGGAGTTTTGTTGTAAAACGGAGCAGAGAAATATAAATGTGGGGTTCAGGGATGGTTTTGGTTAATGTGAGATTTTCAAGCATATCTGTATGCTACTATAAATTATCTAGAAAAGAAGGGGAAATTTACAGTGCAGGAGGAAGTCGGTTCAATTGTAAAGGCAATGCCCTTCAGTAGGAAGAAGGGGGCTGGCCTTAGACATATGATTTTCATACTTACTGGACAGACTCAGGTGTTCCAGTTAACATACAAGACCTTTCTGGAAGGCCACCACTGTCTACAATATAAAACAAAAAAGTTTAAGGCTAAGAAAAGGTTAACACATACCATAATTTTCAATAGAAGCTTAAAAATATGTTAGCTTTCTATTTAGTATGAAAATAGCACCAAAATAACGTTACCAGGAGCAATCTGTATTTTGCATCCAGATTCCTGCTGTATACGTGAGATTTGTTCACCTCCTCTGCCAATAACTAGAAAAGAAAAAAGAAAATTATTAGCTGAAAGATTGCCAAGTATGTTTTGATTATTTTCAAAACTTTAAAAACCAGTTTACTTACTAAATCCAACCATCCCATCTGGAACTTTGTATTCTTCAGTCATTACAGACCTGCTAAAAAAAGCAAAACCAGAAGCTAACATCTTCCTTCAAAGAAAGGTAATTTACTTACAAATAAAAGGTACTCTATCGATGAAAATGGAGGTCTAATGGTCAAACCAGGGTTCCAGGAACATGTTTGTTTATAGTCAAAATATGGCTTGAGTAGTTAAAGTTAGAACTTAAGGTAACACACATCAAGTGAGGAGGGTATGGTGAATGGAACAGTCTGAAGGCATGCAAAGAAGCTGGAGTAGAGTTGAGGGACTGTCATCTTAATTTTTTTTAAATAGTATTTTAATTCATTTTACTTTCTCTAAAATGTGTCTAATTACACCCATCCTTCCAAACTACAAATGTATGTCACTCAAAAAGAAAAATGATCATTCTGTATCACCTTATTAAGTTGAAGGAAATGAAACACACACACACACACACACACACACACACACACACACGGCAGACACATATTCACTGTACACTAACTTGGTTGTGTTTTTACATACAGTTCAACTAAAACTTGCAAATCATTTGAAAAGCATTTGACTATACCTTTGCTGCTGATGCATCGGTGGTAACTGCGTCCCAAAAGCTACCATAAAAATGGAAAAGTTTAAATTTAAGTTCACATATATTTTAATACTTTTATCACGCAATTCCAAAATCTTTCCCTGATGCACAGATAATACCTTGAAGAGAGTAAAATTTTATGCAGAATACTTAAATCAACACTGACAGTAAGCAAATAAAAAAAGTCAGTAAAAGGGCAGACATTACTAGCAATGAAATAGAAAAAAAACACCTGTCCTTTTTCAAGTGGTGCATGTATAGATTAAGAAATAGAGCAATAAAACAAAATAAAAAGTAGAAATAGAGCAAGAAAAGAGACTTAATATGTACCTGGCCAAAACTGAAAGATCATAAAGATAGGATGCACATATTTACAAAGAAATTCATTATAACATAATATTCCTGGCCTCCAACTAACTTCAAAGATACCCAAAAGATAGGAACAAAACCCTAATTAAAATCCAGTTACTTTATTTTTTAACCCAACTTTAAATTAATACTTACAGTCATTTTGAGGAGCAACTTTCTTAGCATCTGGTTGATCTGCAAAATTAAATGTCTTTTAATTTTTTTGCCAATAAGTACAAATATATGAATCAGTTCCCCTGCCCAAGCAAGAATATCAATATAAACATTTGTTGAAATAGCTGAGGGTATTGTGTAATTTGAACCAAAAGTGCCAAAACGTAGCCCCAACTGTTCACGTTTAAAAGATGCACAGACATTTTTTAAAAATTCTTTTTGATTGTATCAGATCACTGACCTTAATGTATGTTAAGCACTTTAGAATGTTATAAGACAAAGTATTTAGGTCCGTTACTAGCAAAATATCACATGCTAAAGGCTAATGATGCTTCCCACTGTAGGAACTGAAGACTGGAAGAAAAGAAGACCTATCAAAATGTGAAAAGTTGACATATCAAAAGTTGAGTGTATCAGACAGTGACCACAAAGCTATGCAAAATAAATTTTAAAATGACATTACAAGGCAATCTCGATCTAAACTGTTCTATTGTTCTTCACCAAACATATCAAGGCATAAACTTCAGCAGAAACTCAAAGCAACTACATGACTACCTTCATCTACATCCTTTACAGATGAATACAATGCATACCTTAGAATAAACAACTGATAAAGTACTATTCTCCTCCCCCCTTCAAAGTTAATTAAACATCAGAATGTTGTACAGCAAAAATTCAGACACATAATCCAAGAAATACTGTGTCCATATCAGAATCCACTGGTTTATTTCACGTTTACATACTAAACACAGGTAATAAATAAAAATTCCTGCCTTTAAAAGGAGAGGGCATTCCCTCCCAGTGTGTTGTACTGCTCGGACTTGTCCAAGAGCCATCTACACATAAAATAAAAAGAATACATTACATACAACATCTGAAGCATCATTAGCTCATTTTTTGTTTTGTATATTAAAACCTCACTGTAAATGAGAAAATCACTTAATAAAACCAAGTACTCCTGGTCAAAAGCTACAAATACATTCTATAGGCTCATTCAGAATCCTCCTCTTAAAAAAATAAAAAGGCAAAAAGAAATTGTATCAAAATTTCATACATCAAATCTAAAACAAAAATATGTGCTGACTTCTAAGTTCAGAAACTTCAGTAATTTTTTTTTTTTTTTTAATACAAGGCACTGTAAATCTACTGCTTTAAGCCACATTGAGTTAAACCTGAAACACAAAACAAGGTACTAAAATAAATAAAAATGTAACAATAAAATGGTATAATCTGCAACACACTAGAATAGCAAACTTTGGCAACTTCAACCTTTAACGTGAAATCTGAAATAGCAGAACAATGAAAATATAGCATATAAAGATTTAATTCATGTATGATGAGAAAAACCTGTGAAATGTCCCCTAAACATTTTATTTTTCAACCCCCCATCCCCCAGAATATTAACAAGTCGTCTGTGCAAACTGTCAATCTGGCACAATTTTAAAAGAAAAATGATGTTTTCTAATAAGACAAAACTGACTAAAATTTTACCTACCTTGTCTAGGTTTCTTTTCCCCCCTTTCCTTTTGAGGGCAATATAAGCCTTACAATTTTAGGAACCTTATGATAAAAGTAATGTTTCAATACAATAATAACATTTGAAAAATTGTAAAAATTACTTTAACTAAACTGTGTAAAACAAAAATACTTATGGCTATAACTTACCTCCATCTTCCAAAGGTCTTTTTTGTCCCCCATAACCATAGTCATTTGAATTCAGTGATGTACCAGCATCACCTCCAATTTTTGCTGCAATCTTAAAAAACAAAAACATACTATCATTAAGAAGAGCACCGTAACTACTACATGCTATTTAGTACACAATTTCCTCATATACTTCCTAATACCTATATATGTCAAATAACTCACATAAAAACTAATTTGACAAAAAGACAAATTATAGTACATTACTATCATTAATAACTCTAGAGTTAACAAATAATCACCTGAAATTAAGCTTTTCATATAAGAACAAACAAAGAAGTAATCAATTAGGAACCTTAAGACTGACCAATTAGCTTTGAAGAAAATCTGCATCCTAATTCTATCTTTGCCATGGCTCTCTCCCATGACTCCACAGAAGATGTGTGTGGGCACAGAGAATGTGAATACCTGTGGTACTCTAAGGCTGTGCTGTCTAATAGGGCAGACATTAGCCAATGTGGTTACTGAGTACTTAAAATAGTCCAAATTGGAGATATACTTTGAAGTGTAAAATATACAGATATTAAAGACTTGAAATTAACTAAAGAATGTAAAGCATCTCAAAATGTTTATATTGAACACATATTAGATTAGTAATATTTTACACGTTGGATTAAATAAAATGTGTGTGACTTGCATTATACTTCTACTAGAGGCCCGGTGCACAAAAATTTGTGCACTGGGGGGAGGGGGGGTTCCTCAGCCCGGCCTGTGCCCTCTTGCAGTCTGTGACCCCTCGGGAGATAACGACCTGCTGGCTTAGGCCTGCTCCCGGGTGGCAGAGGGCAGGCCTAATCCCTAGGTGCAGCCCCTGGTAGGGCTCAGAGCAGGGCCGATTGGGGAATTGGGGCGCCGCCCCCTGTCATGCACAGAGCAGGGCAGATCGGGAGGTTGCGATGCCACCCTCAGTCACACTCAGGGTAGGGCCGATTGGGGGGTTGGGGCACCGCCCCGTCATACTAGAGGCAGGGTTGATGGGGAGGTTGCGGCACCACCCCCTGTCACGCACACAGCAGGGCCAATCAGGGGGTTGGGGCGCTGCCCCCTGTCATGCACAGAGCAGGGCCCATCAGGGGGTTGGGGAGCTCCCCCCTGTCACGCACAGAGCAGGGCCGATCAGGGGGTTGGGGCGCTGCCCCCTGTCACGCACAGAGCAGGGCCCATCAGGGGGTTGGGGCGCTGCCCCCTGTCACGCACAGAGCAGGGCCCATCAGGGGGTTGGGGAGCTCCCCCGTCACGCACAGAGCAGGGCGGATCAGGGGGTTAGGGCGCCGCCCTCTATCACCCACAGAGCAGGGCCGATCAGGGGGTTGGGGAGCCGCCACTCTCACACTCAGGGCAGGGCCGATGGGGAGGTTATGGCTCTACCCTGTCACACACAGAGCAGGGCCTGTGGGGTGGGGGGGTTGGTGCGCCGCACCCTGTCACACACAGAGCCGCAGGGCAATCAGGGGGTTTGGGAGCTCCCCCCTATCAGGCACAGAGCAGGGCCGATCAGGGGGTTGGGGCGCCTTCCCGCCCCCTGTCACACACAGAGCCACAGGGCGATCAGGGGGTTTGGGCGCTGCCCCCTGTCATGCTGATCCCGGTGCCGGGAGACCTCGCGGCTCCGCTGATCCGGGTGCTGGGAGGCATATTACCCTTTTACTATATAGAATAGAGGACTGGTGCAAGGGTGGGGGCTGGCTGGTTTGCCCTGAAGGGTGTGCCGGATCAGGGTGGGCGTCCCCACTGGGGTGCCTGGCCAGCTTGGATGAGGGGATGATGGCTGTTTGCAGCTGGTCACACACCCTTCAAGGTGGGGGTCCCTGGGGTGCCTGGCCAGTCTGGGTGAGGGGCTGAGGGCTGTTTTCAGGCTGGGACTGAAGCTCCCAACTGCTCCTTTTTTTCTTTTTCTTTTTCTTTTTTTTTTATTCTGAGCCAGCTTTAGCTCTGAGGCTCCAGCTCTTAGGCCTCTGCTCCTGAAAGCAGGTATCTGGTTTGTTCAGGTTCTACAATAGAAACTATGTATCAACTCCAGGTCTGAGATCCCGGCTAGCTGAAAGCTGGTTTCTGGGGTTTTGTTTAGCTTCTATTTTTGTAACTATGCTTCAAACTGCCAGCTCAGAGGCCTGCAGCAGCAGGCGGGGAACGCTGGAGTCCTCCGTCACTGAAGCAAGCAAGCCTCATGTTAGTTTCAAGCTGCCTGGCTGCCGGCAGCCATCTTGACTGGCAGTTAATTTGCATATCTTGCTGATTAGCTAATGGGAAGGGTAGCGGTCGTACGCCAATTACCATGTTTCTCTTTTATTAGATAGGATTGGACAATCTTGCACTAAGGAAACATGGGGGCAAGAAAGCCTCAGAAACAGAGACATAAGTAATTTTATCCTTAAAGACATAACTACTAGAATGGGCCAAATAATTGCCTGAAGTTGACTAAACAAACATTATACTTGAAATACCAGCCTCAAGTCACAAGTGAGGCACAACCAATGGACATTTACTGCATTTTTCTATGAAAGAAATGAAACTAATATTGTGGAGTGCCAACAACAGGCCACGCTCCACACTATAAATGTTTCATATTCATTTGTCATTGAATAATCATTAACATCCCTATGAGGTAGAAAGTATTAGTGAAGTAGATATATCTTACAGTTAAAAAAAATTTAAAAGAGGTTAATTTAACTAAGATTACATAGTTAGTCAATGCTGATGTCCCAATTTCTACACAGTCCCATGCTATAATTACTATGAGGGGGATAATCACTAAAGTGGGTGAATGGCTCAGAGTTCATATTACATTATTCTTTCAATTTTGAGCATGTTTGAAATGTTCCATGATAAAAAATTAAATGGAAAATCAAACTTTTGGTAACTGAAATTCCCCCAAAGATGTCCTGATGTGGAACTAAACCAACTATACCTCAAGCTTCATTATAACTGGAAATTAGAGAAAGTAAGAGTATATTCAGAAACTTGAGTCATAAATCCAATGTATCACTTATGTATATGTTCCCACATAGCAACTATATTTCCCAGGGTTGCTAGATTTCCCTTTTACTACATGCAAACACATATAGCAAAGCATATTAGAATTAAGGATACTAGAGCTTTGGTCAATCTAACCTTCCTTAATCATCTTTCATTTTCTCAAAAGCCTGTTTGCATCTTTGCATCTAATTAAAACCTATTTCTTTTCTAAGATTTTCTCATCATACCTGAAAACTGCTTTTCCATCCTTAAGGGGTTTTTTTTATGCTAAGTCTATATAATTGCTTGTCAAATAGAGAGCACTGCAATATGTTAAAAAATTGTTGCTATAGCAAGCTCAAATTGTGTCAAGACAGTTCTGTCCACCCTTAAGCTTTAAAACACGTAGCACTGAATTGTTCCTTAGGAACTTAACTACACTGCCAGTATTGATGGACACTGATGTTAAGGAAAGTATTTTAGGACAGAGAAAATAGTGACACCAATGACTGGAAAATAGTTTAGGCTGTGAGTATCTCCAACAGTTAGCTTTTATAAATGCTCTATAAATCTGCAAAGCAGCACTCTTTGGAATTTCTGCACAGAGAAAGTACACTTATTTTTACCTCCCTATTCATTCAATAGAGAGGGAGAGAGAAACATGAATTGGTTGCCTCCAGTACCCTCCCTCACCAGGGATTGAAAAGGTGACCTTAGGGTTAAAAAGAACCAGTAACACATCTCAAAAATTCAAAATACGAAGACATCAAAGAAGAGCTTTTGGTAAAAATACTATCAATACAGATTTGTTCAATTCTCCAAAATCAAAAGAAAATATACATCTCCTAAGTCAGCGATTTTCAACCTTTTTAAAAAAACCTCATTGCACACAAAATTACTAAAGTTCTGTGGCACACCAAAAAAACTTTTTCTGATCACACACACAATTTTGGTTCATTCACACCAGACAGCTATTGTTGAGTTGGCTGTTGTCATTTTTTCATTTGACAATCTAAGGGAAAAGAGATCAGTACTCCTGACTAAATAATCAGATATTGAATGTTTAAAAATTCTTGTGGCACACAGGCTGAAAATTGCTGTCCTAAGTCATTGAAAGGAGGATTAATTTAAGAGAAACAGTAGTTCCTAAAAGCCAACCTCCAATTATTTATAAAAGTATTACTGGACTAGTAAAATTAAGTCTAATACATTTTTTATTTTAATTTACAATAACTTAAGCTTTTCATTTGGACTTCAAATGAGTAAATTTTTTGTGTGTTTTAATGTTTTAGCATTTTCTACCTTTCTTCATAGACTGTTCCTACTATCCAACAATCCTGAATATTGAAGAGATTATTTAGTCATATCACCTGATTTTAGATATTATTTTTAAAAAATCAAAATCTGATTCTCAGAAGCAAACTACCTAAATGCCTCAGGTGACTAGCTCCTAATTTTCAGTCCACTGCATGCTTCCTTTGGTTTGCAGTACTACTGTGATTTGGAGTGGGTTGTGATTCTGGTTCAACTAATTTGGGTCCCTGCCAAATTTTCCTGTGCATTCTGCACCTTGTTCACCTTATCTATACAAAGGAGATAACCGGTATTCTGTACTTACCTAGAAGGACAGTTGTAAGAATTAAGTGAATACAAGTTTAGCACAGAACCTAAGATAGCATAGTAATTGCTAGTTATTATAAACAGATCAGTATACTATAATTCAAACGATAAAGCAGGGTCTGCACGTCAAATATTTGCATTTTAAAATTTTAACAATTTTTATTTGTCCTGAAAACATATGTAGTTATATTCTATTTGTGAAAACTGCCCTCTGTAGACTAAGGTATGCGATTTCTCTTTGTTATCCCTAAGACTGAAACCCTAAGACTGACATAACCATATTGTGGGTATTCAACAAATGAATTTCTGCAAGAACATAATTATTTTCAAAACAAAAGTTCATTACTATCTAAATTCATTAGAGATATTTTTTCGTTCAATTGAATAAATACTAAGTACCTGCTAAGGGCCAGGTTTTGATGGTTCCCATGCACCGGAAATGTGAAGATGCATGAAGGACACAAGAAATATTACGAG